ATCTGGGAAGGATCTGGGAAGATCTGGGAAGATCTGGGAAGGATCTGGGAAGATCTGGGAAGGATCTGGGAAGGATCTGGGAAGGATCTGGGAAGGATCTGGGAAGGATCTGGGAAGATCTGGGAAGATCTGGGAAGATCTGGGAAGGATCTGGGAAGGATCTGGGAAGATCTGGGAAGGATCTGGGAAGATCTGGGAAGATCTGGGAAGGATCTGGGAAGATCTGGGAAGGATCTGGGAAGGATCTGGGAAGATCTGGGAAGGATCTGGGAAGATCTGGGAAGGATCTGGGAAGATCTGGGAAGGATCTGGGAAGATCTGGGAAGATCTGGGAAGGATCTGGGAAGGATCTGGGAAGATCTGGGAAGGATCTGGGAAGATCTGGGAGGATCTGGGAAGATCTGGGAGGATCTGGGAAGGATCTGGGAAGGATCTGGGAAGATCTGGGAAGATCTGGGAAGGATCTGGGAAGGATCTGGGAAGGATCTGGGAAGGATCTGGGAAAGATCTGGGAAGGATCTGGGAGGATCTGGGAAGGATCTGGGAAGGATCTGGGAAGGATCTGGGAAGGATCTGGGAAGGATCTGGGAAGGATCTGGGAAGATCTGGGAAGGATCTGGGAAGATCTGGGAAGGATCTGGGAAGGATCTGGGAAGGATCTGGGAAGGATCTGGGAAGGATCTGGGAAGGATCTGGGAAGGATCTGGGAAGGATCTGGGAAGGATCTGGGAAGGATCTGGGAAGGATGGGAAGGATCTTAGGTGAGTTTCAGTTGTTTGTATTGGTTAGCAGAAAGCATTTACTTCCTGGCATGGTCATGAAATTCATGAAATTCATGAAATTGCGGATCTTGCCCGTCTTGCCCCAGCATTTCACAGCTTGACTTCGGCGTCGGTGTGCATCTTGAGGCAACAATGAGACAGACCCTTGGTAGCACGAAACATTTGTTTGGAGTCTTCAAGCGCTTTTATGAGGAGTTGACCGCCGCACTGTGGCACCTCGGTCCGTTGAACCAAGGAATACGTCTGCAAGGACGATTGGTCAGCCTATTGCTGGGACAAGTCTTGGGGCAGTTGCCCGGTCACCTGCAGCTATGAAGAAACATATTGCTATTCCTATGTCTATGATTCTACAGGACAGGTTGTGACAGCTTGTGCGGCTGTAGTTTTTTTGTACAAGCCTGCTGGTGTGAGGGCCTGTGAGCAACAAAGGGAGCTAAGGAAAATAGCTTTGATTCGGTTTGATGCATTAGAATACCGGTAACATCCGCTAAGCATCTGTCACCATCTGTCATTGTCCTTCAGGAGAAGTGAACTGGACGGCTCCCCAGACCCAGTTCTGTGCCAACGCCACCACCGGTTGCCCTTGCGACGCTTAAGCTGAACCTGGTGTCTTCTGTTCGGCTGTCGTCTCGACTACTTCTTGAGGATTCTTGAGAGTAGCCAATGAAAAAGGAATGAGTTCTGAACGGCCTGAAGGAGCAGCGAATAGCCATGGACTGCAAAATCATATTTGAATGCCAAATCATTATCAATTTATCAATGACTCAATGACTTAATGCCTTGAAGTGTAGTTTTCCACACATCAGATATTTCTTTGCGCGGCCTAGTGGCTTCTTGCTTGTCGCATCGCTCAGGATGCTCAGTGGGAGGACAAGTGCACTGACTCCTGGGGCTACAGCTGGTGCACTCCCAAGACTTTCCCGTGCCCAATCACCTGCGCTATGGATGAGCAGGCAGAGGAATTTTTCAGCTGAACCAAACCTGTAGCGTTTCATCATCATTTCATCAATGAATGATTTCGATTATGGGGCTCCTGGATCTGCCTGAAAAGCTGCATTTCTGGCAGATCTGCTACCACGTCACGTACCTGGACAGTGGTGAACCTGATTGGTCAGTCCCTAGTGAACAGACTCTTGGCGACGGAGAGGTTGGACCAGACATGTGGACCGGATAACCCGGTGGAGTTACTTCCTTTCAGGGTGCATGATGAGAAACCATGGCAAATGATGATAAACATTGATAAACCATGAAAAATTGAGGCCTACTTTCTACTTTCAGACAGAGCCATTGCACTGCAAGTTGGGATTTATCATACTGCGAGGCCAATGGCGTTGGAAACCTTCTTGTCGGCTTTTCCCAGTAAGAGGTCATAGCCTTACTGGATACCCCAGCTATGTCTGAAATATATCCACTTAAAAACTTAGATTAGTGCTATATCTCTAGTTAGATTCATGTGGGAAACCCAATCATAACATCCCCAAAATCATTATTTTTATGCGTTGTAACTATCCCCAAATGGTAAGTGTATGGCAGTTTATGGCATTGGGTTTCTCACATTCACGGCTTACAAGCCATTTACGATTTCTGGCACATACCGTGTCTGACTAAGGAGCTGCGCTCCTTGGAATGGCAGCTGCCCATGCCACCCCACTTTCGAGGACGCCGGTCTGCCCTGGGGGATCCCCAGTCGTCACCACGGGTTCCTGGCGACCAGTCGTCATGGCTATGGATGATTTGGAGATATCCCAATAGGAACCCCCCAGGGAAAACCCATGGGCCACTGATAAACCCCAAAGTTTTGATGCTTCCGGGCAATGGGCAAACACCTCAGGAACTTGCGCTCCTCTTTTTTTCCCCTTGCAGGGGAAGCTGAGTCGCTCGAAATGGCACCTGCAGGAGCAATGCAACACCAGCTGGGGCTATTCCTACTGCCAGACAAAGCATGGTGGCTATACCTGTCCAATATCCTGCAAGGACAACGAGACACTTTGCGCAAATCAGAGGAGTAGACTGAGTAGACCTTAGTTTAAGGTATGTCACATCACATAAATGGAGAAGATTATATATATATATACATCAATAATATATATATATATATATAATATATAAATATGTTATATCATATTATACAAATATAATATAATATATGTATATATATGTATTTAAATATCAGAGAAACATGAGACCCCACTGAGATTTTGCTTCTTCATCTTGGCCCTTCTGCAGATCGGGGCGCCTATTCGGGATGATTCCGAGGCACTACTGCACCACGATTCCCTACGATGAATTTGGCAACGAGAACTATTCCGCACCCTGGCAGGCGTGCGCACATCATTCACCATGTCATATACACATTGATGTGTAATATATATATAAATATTATATTATATATTATATATACGTATATATATATATATAATATGTATGTATGTGGATAGTATGCTGGCATCGCATTTGCGGTAGAGGTTTCTCATGACATTCAGTATTGTGTTTCGCGTTTTGTTTCTCTCCCATCTTCTCAGTGGTGAAGCCTCGCAACAAAAAAACATCTGACTGGACGATACTTCCAGCAGGAGAGCTGCGCAGATCCGGAAGTCGGGTGCCCTTGTGATGCCACCTGGGAGCACAAGTGCACCGGCGATGGTTGCTTGTCGTGGTACCTGGTTACCCGTGGATGTTGGGGAACATCAAGTGGCAGGGTCCTGCAGTTGGTTAGTTCCCAACTCCGCAAAAGGGACCCCTCTGAAGACAAAAATTATTATGGTGTTTGTGTATACGTAATTTGTGCATGCACAGACTCAAGTACTGCACATGAGAGTCCAAGAATGGAATGCATTTCTCCTGAAAGCTAGATGGCCTTCAGGTTTTCGAGTAGATGCTTGATGAACAATCTAGGAGTGGAACATGCCTTGGGAACCTATAGTTCGACTGCCGTGATGTTTGTCGGCATGAAGGTGGTCAAGTGAAACCACACCAGAAATTTAAGGCACATGCCACCAGCCATCAGAATGCTCGTTGTGAAATGCAGTTCCTTCTAGATTTTACTAGTTGGCCTTGGAATCGTTGACCCTGTGATGTCACATACGTAGGTTCGTTCCCACAAATTTAAGTCAATCTGCAAGCATCTCTTCTCGTTTTCTGCTACCAGCCTTTACCAGTTCTGCTCTTGAGAACCAGCAGTGGTGGAAGGCAGAAGCATCTTCATAGACCTTTCATTCTTCCTTGTATCTTTACGTATCTTTACTAAGAAGATTTTTCCAAGTTTTTTCCTTCTTTGTTCTTAGACTTTTAGACTTTGCTTTTCCAAACATTGCATCACCTTGTTTTTTTGTTCACACAGCAGGCACTATATGTATAGCAACCTTGCCCTTTTCAGTTTGCGTTTATTTTATTCGGATTCCCAGCCAATTCCATCATGACCCGTTTCGAAGGGGTACAAATTTAGATCAGGGTCTGTGAAATGATACAGCAAATAGTAGCCGCACCCTTCTGTAAACTTACAGTTCGATGTGGAAAACCCACCACACATGTAGAATATCTACCGATTAAATGAATAAAAAACCAACTTCTTGAACAGGGAAGTAGTGCTCCGCCCGAATCACTGCAGGCTATTCCTGGTGTCAGAGCAAGTTCGACAGTTGCCCAGTGGACTGCGGCACAGCAGTGACATGTTTCTGGTCGATGACTTGTGAGCCCAAACCTGCCCCCAGTGGTTTTCACACCAAAAATAGCTTGGATTTTTTTTCTGGATGTTAAGAAGCACCCTTTTTATATGGGCCATGGGGTTTTCGAATGTTTTCGACTCATGTCGAAAGGTCACCTGAGTCACCTGGCTTTGAGGCTGGCACTACAGTGGCAACATGAGCTGTGCCACTGACAGCGGCTGCACCTGTGAATCGGATGAGCTCGCCTGTACGGACCTTCCAAATTTGCCGCAGTGCAGTGCAGTTGGGAAGCTTCATAGCACTTCCCACTTCCATAGCCATCTGAAGGGGAAGGATAGGGAAGGATTGGAAGGATTGACTAATTATGGTTCAATCATGTTTAAGAAGTTGAATCAATGTTCAGGGTCAATCTTGATGGTAGTAAGAAACCGCCTTTGCATTGCAGGATTCTGCAGGAAAGACTGAGTGCTATGCGAAGGAATGGTACGGAGAATCCTGCCACTCGCAGCAAGATTTATATTATCCCTGGGCAGAGAGGCAGATGCTTGTAAAATCACCTCCTTGACATAAGCTTCGTCGACAGTTTTCTGGAAGCGCATATTTTGTAGGAATCAGATTGAGAAAATGAATGCAAATGAGCCAACCTAGATTTGAGACTTCAGTATCTAAAGCTGACCAATAGTGGATGACTATAAGAACTATTGTGTTAAGAACGATAGTATCTATGATAGTCCGACAAGGACATTTTCGGAGAATTGTTTGTATTCGAGGTCCTTTGACATGCAACTACGACACCGAGAACTGGTGCTATCAAGTAGGACGGAGTCCATATCCGGATTTCCTACAGGGCAGATTTTTTTACATCATAGAATTGGATGATGGGAAAATTTACAGGAAAGCCCTATATTTGAAGATTTTGATGGTAAAAACCATGGGCTTCCTGTAAATTTTCCCTTCAACCAATCCAGTGATTACAGCCCCCCTTCGATTCCTCGTTCGACGTGCAGGATTCGATTCCCAGGGCTTCATGACATGGACCGAGTACTGCTACACCAAGACAAGCGACTTGCCGACAGGCTGTCATGGCTAGATACGGTGGATGGTTGCGAAATCCTGCACCAGTTGATATATGTGGTTGAATGCATGATTTATCGGTTTAACATGGTTTAACCATCCAAGATGGTGCAGGATTTCGCAACCATCCATAGTATCTTGGATATTCTTGTATTTTGATGTTGTGTTGTCGCAAGAGGTGTTTATTGCAACTTCTTCCCTTCAGTTCACCTCACCTCTTCAGCATGCCATAGAAACTGGCTTCGACCTTGCTTTGGAAAAGGCTCAGGGCTGGGAACGCATGGCTCAGTTCATATTCATAACATGTCATAGCTATGTAATTTATCCTCTACAACTGACTCTGCATAATCATAGTTCAATCCTTTCTGTCCTGCTTTCATGAAACAACGACTTTGAGTTCCAGATGATCATAATCCAATATATAGAATTTTTTATGCAATTTTATTGTATTCCATGGTATTCCCCATATTTTCAGCCAAATCTTCCAGTTTTTTTTTTTGTTTTTTGCGAGGCGCCAGAGCCTCTGAGGTGCCGATGATTGGTATTGCCCTGTGATTTGCAACAGCGACACGGCCAAGACCTGCGGCTCGGGAGATTTCGCGGAATGCGTCCCATTGACCGAGTCTCGGCGATGAAACTCGATGGGAACCATGGAAGAAATATACGTACCGTACCGCTACTGTATTTCGGTTTATGTATGTTTATATAATATAATGTTTATACCTGGACCATCCAATGTTACTTAAATTTAGGTACTTTGGCCATTCGTTACTTAAATTGGAAAAGTGATACTTAAATTGTTGCCTCGAGCGTTTTTCAAGAATTCGAGCATTTTTTGCTACTAAGCCATTTGGCTTCAGTGATGACATCCGACTTGTCCCAATCCAAGGCCGGCCACGAGTCTTGTGTGTCAAGTGCACGCCAAGTTCCAGCCAAGTCCCCTTCAACACCTGGCCACAGGTCTCATGGCTGTGGTGAATGCTTAGCTTTGGGAAGGCTGGGGTGGCATTCACTGAGACTACAAAATTTAACATCAACATCTCTAGCGGAAAGGTGGAGGATTTGGAAAACACTTTTTGTTTCTAGGAATCTATTACCTGAGATGATTTAGAAAACAACTTCCATACCCCTCATAATAGTTCTATCCACTCTGCCTTGGGAAGGCCTATCTTTTGGTGGCTTGGGTCTGGACCTTCGCTTTTTGGTCTGACTGGCACGCTTATCTGATCTGAGTGGTTTGGTCTAGGTGTTCAAATATCGAATGGCCCAAATTTAAGTAACACTGGATGGTGCTGTATATGCAGCGCATGTGGAATTAGATTTGGATGGTCCAGGTATATTATATAAGATCATCTTGACGTATCTTTTGGGCATTTGGGTCCACTGGCTCGAGGCATTTCAAACATATATCGCCTGCAACAACTTGTTGCCCCTGATGCCCCAGCATGTGGTATCGCCGGTTGTCATGGAGTGGGAGAAGTATGACTACATCCGTAATGCTGGTGTCCGGGGTGAGTTGGTCATGGTCCTTCCCCTGACAAGATCACCAGAAGGGATGTGCTGAACAATGCAGACATCCTGGCGCCTGTCATTTCTGAGATTGGTGCCTTTCTATGCATTTTCAAGTCAAACAGTTTTTCCATGTCCCATCGTAGTATCCATAATAACTCAATTTGGGGGCAATAAATCTATAGAGTTTAAGGGTAAGAAGAAAAGTTTGGGCAATAAAGGTTAGTTTCAAAGAGATTGCCTTCACCCGGTGCCAAAAGAATCCAAAAGATCTATCTTAGGTGTGCGCCCTACGGTCGTGCAGCTAAGAACCCATGTGGAAGAGTTTTTCTTTCGCAATCGCAGCAGAAGCAAAGCACCAGTGGCAAGCCCCTTGGAAGATATGGATATGAAAGACCAATACCCTTTTTTCTTAGCAGTGTTTGGGAGACCTTGCTCAACCTGGGCACCTGAAGGCTCAGTGTGCAATGCGCACTCTTGGGCTTTGCGTCGTCTGGTGTCAGTCTTCGCGCGCACAGTGCGGAGGCCCCATGTGCCGAGAGAGCCAGCCATGCGCCAGCTGTATTTGGCTGCAGGGGTGCCGCTGCCTGAAGGCTCTTTACAAAATACAGTTTGGGAAATACATAGTACGGTTTTGATATCTTCAATGGCAATCCACTTCCTTAAAATATGTTTCACCAATATTAATATATATCCCGATCCCCAAAGAACTATCCAATACAAAACCCTGGTTTCAAAGGATCATTATATTAATGCAAGGCTGTAAGGGGGGATGGATTACCAATTACCTTATCTATACCTTATCTCCCTTCAGGTGCCGAGAGTGGAGCATCAGCACCTCCTGGCCATGAAGCAGAGGGTGGCGATGATGAGGGTTGGGGAGCAGAGGATGAGTGGGATGAAGGTGAAGGAGAGGAGGAAGTAGAAATGGAGGATGATCCTGTGTGCGAACCCCCGCCCATTGCCACTCAGTATGAAATCCTTTAGTTCAACCGTGGTATGTGATCCTGTATTTCATGGTCTTATGCTATGAAATTTTACTCCACGATGTGCTCAAACCAAATATGGAATTGGAAAAATCAACTACTATATTGATAACATGTTTCTGTGAGGTATGTAGTTGCCCCACTACTGATTGATAGTCGATAGTGATTTATTATTTCAGAGTGCAATCCAGTTCATGTCAATTGAAATTTTAAACACTTGGTTTCCTACGTTTCCTTCCGAACCATTGCCCACTTCCTGAGCCAAACCTTGTGAGGCTTCGATGGCAGATCCTTCTCCGCCAGCTGAGATGTGTGCTCCAGAGCCTGCATCGGCAGCACCATTGGCATCGGTGGCATCAGCTGGTTTCTTTTCCAAACTTAAAAATTGAAATCTTGCTCATGGAGAAACAATCAAAATGTATATTTATGTTTTTCATTGTTCTTTAAGTTTTGGGTAATCAGCAATTCAAAGTAAGGTTCCAAAGCCCCGCATGCTGACCACTGGATGACTCCCCAGTCCAACGAGAAGGATGGATATGAATGCAGGATTTGTTCGTTGGGTGCCGTCTCCATGGATCTCCTAAAAGCTGTCCCATGTGAGACAGAGAACAGAACGGAAAAGGTGAAGGAATTGGTAGCCAAGGAAAGCAAGAAAATAGAACTTCTTCAGATGTTAAGGGAAGAGCATTTGAAACTCATAGCCCTTTCGAATTCCCGGCTCCATGCTGCCGCACCTCCAAGCCCTGCTGCATCTCCACCTCCAAGCTTGCCACCAGCTCGAACTGGAGGCCTTACTGGCCGGGAAGTGGAAATCAACACCATATATTACAAATAGATATGCATCCCTTCCCTATCAAATACCACGACCTAAGGAAATCCCAAATAAATATTCCCACTGCTACACCAATGTATCTAGTGGTGTATTTGGTGTAAGGGGTTATTGGTATATCCAAATTCCAAATCATGTTGTCTCCTTTCCAAGCTTGGGTAGGCAGCATCGACACCATGGACACCCTTCCTATGACAGAGGAAATGGATCCAGCCATGATTCAGGACACATTGGGGGAAGCCTTGGGCAAATGTATTATGGGTTCAATTTAATTTTCTGTCCTCACATTTTCACATAGTTTTCACCAAAGAGATGTTTAAAAAAACATATATCAATTCTATCAACTTAAACCGTATACCCATTTATATCAACATATAATAACAACCATCTCGTCTTAGGAGATGAAGAAGATGAGTTTGTCTCCACCTCCGGCCAGTGAGAAGAGACCACTGTTTCGCCGTGATACCACTTGCGATTTCGGCAAGACTTCTAGTGGGGTTGAGAAAGGTTCCACTGAAGCCCCCAAAGACCACAGGCTTGCGGTGAAGGATGCTGACTCCCCCCCTTGCAAAGAGGAACCCAAGAAAAGTGAAGTAAAGGTGAAAGTTGGTGAGGATGCAAAGCCCACTGATTCCCACACCACCAAAGACCAAGAGGAAAATACAAAGGAACATGGCACCTCCGCTCCCATTGCACCCGCTGCCCTAACTTCCGGCCATGAGGACGGGGGTCCTATTCCAAGTCCCGCTGAGGTGAAAGATGTGAGGAATCAAGGCATTCACCCGTCAAGCATTTTGTTTGTCATGGGCACACCCAAAGAAATTGAACAAGGTTTTTTCGATCCGACAGATACTCTCAGTTTAGGGTCGCCATGGGAGACTGATGGAGACAGTGACCAGGAGACCGAGAAAGATGAACACAAGTTGGAAGGTGACAAGACAAAGAAACCCGAGAGTGAAAAGGCAGGCGGAGGTAATGAGAAGAATCCCCAGTCCAAAGCGGATGACAAAGCCACTGCACCCCGAAGTGAGGAAAAGGTGACAGAGGAGGTTAAGGACATTGAGCCCCAGAAGAAAGCACTGGTGTTGAATACAACTGAGGATGAGAAGACAAAGGGAGATGATGTCATTGATGCAAGCAACAACAAGGATAAGAAGGTGGGGTGAAACTAAATAAATTAGGATCCGTGTTGTTTAGTTTATGTTGGTTCAACCTTCCCTTCATATTGTTGTTTCAAAAAAACATACTACTCTAACAGTAGTACCTTCCATCCTTTCTCCTTCGTGTATCCCCTGCAGGCGGAGATTCTTGCTTCGAGGCCAGCGGCCTTGGATCACCTAGAGCCCATTTCACCCAATGAGCAGAGCGGGGGCGCTCCTGTTGCAGACCCAGAGTTGAAACCCAAGAAACGCGGCAGGAAACCCAAAACCGATGGTGCTGAACCGGCCACCAAAAGAACCAAAAAATCCAAAGAGGAGGACAACAAGGAGCCTCCCCGAAAGAAATCTAAGAAGGAGGAATGTAAGAAGGAGGAAGGTATTGAAGGTGATGCACATGAAGCAGAGGCAGCACCGAAGGCGAAGGCAAAGGCTAAGACCAGGGCTAAGGCTAAGGCCGAACCCAAGAAGAAAGCAGAAAGTAAGGCGAAGGCAAAGGCGAAGAGCGCAGCAAAGGAAAAGGCAAAGTCACAGCCAAAGGTTCGAAAGGCAAAGCCCCAGGAAAACAACGAGGACAATGGTGAAACCCCCGACGCCACCGAGGTGTTGGATGCAGTTGAGCGAGCTCGAAAGGAGCTAAAGGATGCTGTCCGTGCCCGCAATTCCCGCAAGAGCTCAGCATACCATGTTGCCTACAAAAAGGCGTTGGCACAGGGTTTTGAAGTCGACAAGGCAAAGGAAAAGGCAAAGGAGGTACTTTGTACGCTATTGGCGAATCTGTAGTATGCAGCCCTTCAAAATAGGTCAAAACCAAAAACATGTTTTTCACCTTCCCCATGGTTAAAATTCGTAATATGTGCCACTTTTCAAAATTGGTTAATAACACACCTAATGTGTTTTTCACTTCTACCCCCACTTGGCACCCTTGTCTAACTGGAATCTGAGGCTTACAAGTTGACCGTGTGATCGGTCTCATATGGCGTGGATTGGATGCCTTGATGGATCTGTACGATCGCAATCTTCCTCGACAACAGTAGCTGGTGTCGCTACTGTGATTTTGCTTTTGATGGGTAGATGCTGTGCTTAGGCTCTTGCACATGCAGAACCCGTAGGGATGTTTGACTGACATGAATGTCCATGTCACCATTAGGTAGCTGAGAACCGCGAACGACATTGAAGTCAAGCTGTGAAGCACTTGAGAGGGGGAAAATGTTTTGCTATGCTTGCCCCGTTGGTATCAAATTCTTGACTCACTGCATCAGGGTCAAGGTCCCTATATATGCTACATCACATGTTGTGAAAAAAATCACTTTAGAATGCAACCACCCCCATTTGGTAAGTTTCTCTCGTCTACCTTATCTTTGATGACCCAAGCTCTTTCGTGTTTTCCTCCACAATCCCTTATCAGTTTCCATTCCCAAAGGGTCCCTCTTGAGCAGCCAGGCGCCACTTGTTCATCTTTGAGATGGCCTGGGCAGCCCGTGGGATACTTCGAGGTGCTGACCGCGCTTGGCTGTGAGTCTTAAAACTGTGGGTGAGATCCATATAAATCTGGTAGATTGAAACTTTGATCCATGGCAACCTGTCACGCTTGACTGTTTAGAAACACGTAGCTTTTTGGGTTCAGCCAACCTTTAAAAAAGGGTCTGGCCAGAGAAGCCAGCAAAGCTGGTAGGCGTGTGATGGTTCACTCAATAGTTTCGAATCTCATGGGAATGGGCTCGCCAAAAGCAGCCTACTTAGTTTGGCTTGGACTCCCAAAGAAGCTGCGGTAAAGCTGAAAGTAGCCCAAAAATGATTTGCAACATGGGGTGCCTCCAAACCAAGGTCCTGGTAGCGACTGCCAATATCTTAGCTTTCTGTTGCAATGAAACATGCCACAGTAAAAACAATAGCAGCCCCTAAAAAGATAGAGAGGTATTTCCAGGTAGTTCATAGTGATGCAGTATGACTATTCTCTATCGATGACTTTCAGGCTTCCAACATTTCTATCTTTCTGGGGGTTGCTATACAGTTTAATAGCTCTATTGGAATTAGTACCACCATGCCTCGGGGATTGGCCAAGGTTTTATTGATCACTTGGTGCCCTTCCCAACTGGCGAAGATCGGGGGCCCCATCCAGTTCTTTGAAGTTTTCAGTGGTGCTGGAAATTGCTCCAAACATATGTGGCTTATCATGCTACCAGTCTGTGTTCGACATATTTTCATTGGGTTTGAATCCCTTAGAATTGAAAATACTTAGTTGGTTGTTGATTTTCACACACTTCTGAGGCATAAGCGTGGCTACAAAGTCGCATCCTTTGACAAGGATTATGCCAGCTACCGACGTGAGTCCTGTATGAACTTCCTCAAACCTTCGGGGTTTGTGTTCTTTGAATGAACTGGCTGATGTCAAGTGAATAATGCATACATGCATGTATAAACTATCGCACAGCCTGAACCCAAAACATACCCCTACTTGCTTTATCCATTCTGCCCAGGTTATGTTTGATGGTGGCGGTCTCCATGATCCCAAATGCTTTGGCGCTACTGGCGCCGGATTGCGGAAGTTGGGGTCTGCCCGCAAGGTATACTTCAATGCGTTCATATTTCAACCCATTTGGATGTGCTGAGCGGGATTTTGTCTACAATGGAAATTTCATGGTAAGCCGGAACTTTGTCTTAAATATGGCCCCGACTCATTATGTATTTTAGGTCCCTTAGTTTTGCAAGGTCCCATTTTGCAAAATCCATTTGAGGCTGGTGGCCCTTGTTTTGGTCCTCACAGCTGCCAACTGCATATGGATGATCGAAAACCCACGACAGTCGCTGTTGGTTCGGCACTTTCGAATGGAGCAATTATGCAATTGGATTTGCTATGTGCCTGGTCAACTTCTAAAGGTTTCACAAAATTTGCATTCTTTACCAAACAAATACTGGATTTAGACCAAACAAAATACACACCCAGTTTATGTTTGTTGTGACCTGTGCTGCTTGCAGGTACACCGAGCTGACTTTTGGATGCAGCTTCTGGGAGGCCCGTGCCCGAAGCCAACTTCCATATGGTGTAATAGTCGGATGGTGCTTGGTTTGGACCTTGGCCGGCTGCCCCGGGAAGTGCGGGAAAGCAAAACTCTGGAAACCTCACGTGGCTCTCTTGATATGGTATTGTTCTTAATTCTTTCTAGACCCCATGATTTTAGGTGATGAAGCTCCGGGATTATGTTGCTGTCTTTTGGGCTTCTTTAATCACATCTAGGTCGCTACAGGGACTCCAATGGTCAAGTGAGATTTGTCGGAAACAAAGCAAACCTCAAGAAAGCTCAGTGCCTTTTATGCACTTAGCACCTGAACAAGTCCTTATTTTAGTGATCTTATGGATGGTTTGATAAAAGCATGCCAGGTTTATATATATTGTTTTTTCCCCTCATGCGCATGTTTTCCCAAAAGAAATTCCAATAGCCCTTCTGCCTCAATGTGGCTCAGGGCCTATCCAGTTGGTATGGCACTTCGATTGGAGGAACTCTACCGAGCTTGGAAGGATGAACCCCGATGTGACCTTCGAACCAAATGCCAGTTGAACTTTGCCCTCACAGACAGGGAGATGTTTGAGCAATACCCTATGGGTGACCTCTACATGGATGGGTTTTTGCATGAATGCTTCTTTTATATGTATGATCACTCTGCCCTTCAAATTCCGGAGTCATGGGCGGAAACAATGAAAAAGTTCCACAAGGAGTTGAAAGACTCTGTCCCTTAGCTGGTTTGGTTTTCAATGTTCTATTAATATCGATGGATTCCTGATGGGTTCAATAGAGACAGCGAAGTTGGGAAGGTGGCGCAGGGGATAGTAATGGGATTGATGGAATCATTATATTATACGCTCGTACTGTGGAATTAGGACTTCAACCCCTGAAGTTGTTTTAATATATTTTAATCTAGCATCTAGATGTGGGTCATCTTCCCATGGGTTTGCCAACTGATGCATCCAAGGTAGAGCAGGAGCTCAACAAGGAGAAAAGGGATCGTTGAGTGACCCCTTTGCACAATTCATTTCAATTAGATTCTTGGTGATTTTTGGACTTATGTCCTATCCCTGAAACTCCGTGAGTTTTCTCACGGAAAAAACGAGCAAAAACTGGGGTGCAAAACGAGCGCAAATACCCGCAAAACGAACGCAAATACCCGCAAAACGAGCGCAAATCCAATTTCGGTACCAAATGGGATTTTTCAACTGCCTATTGAAATGGCCTCTACCAAATACATAACATATCATAACATCATGGAATCCAAGATTTGTGCTCTGTTTGGGTGGTATTTGGTCATTACTCTGGCCTTATGAGTGGAAATGAGCAAATGGACATAAAACAACCACATGGAGCTTTCTTGATGTCTGTCTACTGGATGTTGATTCCTTGCAGCACTTTTTTCACCAGGTCCTGGGAGGGTGGGCTCTATTGAGTAGTGCATGGCACCCCGTTCAATCAGTTCAACATCATTGGACCAGGGAATGTCAGCGTTGAGAACCAACCACATTGGCCAAGTTGAAGGAGAGCGGGATGTTGATGCTGAGATAGCTGTCCCCTGATAGCATTTCACGTCCTTTTCCCCAGCATTGAACACTCAATCAAAATCCTTGTTCAGTGAAAGATATACATTTTTTTGGCCACCAGTCAATGGTGTTTAATGTTGAGGGGATGCAGCTTATATTTGATTTGATCCTCATTTGATAGTTTGTTGGCCCTTCCCCATCCATTCCTAGCCTCCCTGTTTGAGCGCTAGGCAGCAGAAGCTTCCTTGGCTTCTTTGAAGCGCCAGCTTGCGTTGCTTGATGCTCCTCAAGATGAGATTTCTGGGGTCAAGGTTCCAGAACCAGGACGAGTGGTGTGGGAGTGGGCTCATGGCCCTTTGCTAAGATATGGTCTGAGAATGAACGTAGTTTCTACTAAGAGTGGGCTATTGATATCCCCTGATAATGATCTACTTTGAATGCGTATGGCTTAAGAAAGCCCTTTACAGTGTTAAACCACTATAGCAAAGGGACACATTGAACTCATAATATCCAACCCTTGATTATTCTTTATTGGGTCCTAAATCACATACATTTCTCAGTGGCTCAAACACCGTGTTGATGTCATGAAGTAGCCTACGTCCCATGGTCTGATTGAGATTAAGTAGGAATTATATGCATGGAGGTGATTCACACACTATATGCATGATCAGCGTAGGCTGCCTCGCCCTTGGCTTTGTGTATGCTGCCATTGCCACATGCTGTCGCATTGTACCAGCATGTACGCCCCCATATCACTACTCAAATATTACAAATGCAATCTAGTATAGCTACCAGTTAAGCAGCATTACCATATAATCTCCTAGGCTCTTAGATGTTGCCCACGCTGTAGAGGGGTTTCGAAGATGTTGAACCATTGAACCCAAAATATCTGGGTTTGGGGAGTTTACTTCGGTGGACATGTCTTAAAATAGGAGATCCCGAAAACTTATGTTTGAACTGAAAAATAAAAAGCTCCATGATCCCCTATTTTAAGACATTCCCACATAGTAAATTTAAACAACAATTGTGCGCAGGAGATGTCATCACTGCTAAGCAAGGTGGGCCCTTTGTTGCGGGCAATGCAGCTACATCCCCCAGCTGTGTCACACCGCCCAGCAAGACTTTGAGGTTGGATTCTTCATCCTCACTTAAAGCTCAACCGACCAAAGACTACCTGTCCACCCAACTGGATCCAGAAGAACTTGAAGGGCAGCCTAAAATCAATGAGGTTTTCCAGGATGCCCAATCCCAACATGATATGTCACCACCTCGTCTCTCGCCAGTGGCTGACAATGGCAAAGCGCCAGATGTGGATTCACCTCCGGATGGTGGACAGGCGGTTGCTACTCCCCAGGGACGGGCAGCTATCCCTGCACCTAAGGGGTCTTTGGTGAGCAAAGGCCATTTGAAACCCAAGTCGGCTGGTAAGCCACCGTCCAAGTTTGACAAGTACTACCACCAGAAACTTTGGTTAAGATATCTTTGAACAAATTGTTGTTCCAACTCTAATATCCAAATTACTTAAAAAGGGGGCCAGTGTCACAGCCATTTATCAATTGTTTCCAACCCATTTGTTACTCAGGATTCGTCGCTATGTGCAGCCACGTGAGAATGGCCATATCTTGGCTAGCAAGGAAACTGTTCAGCTGTTCAAGACAGAAGAAGGGAGAGCCTCTATTCGAACAGCCTATTCCTTCAACAATACACTTTCCAATGTTTGGAGTGATTCTTAAAACCAAGTTCGGTCATAGCCCCAAAAAAGATCCAGGCAGATATACCCAAAGTTATTTGAAACATGTTTTTTCTCACCCAGCTCCTCATGCCTCAGGAACAAAATTGAGGGAAATTCTCATGAAGGAAGGTTCACTTGCTGCCATGGATGTGACCATCCGAAAAACTCACAGCAGAACACTTGATGAGCTCAAAGGTGGTGGTTGGTATACAAAGACGTGGCTTATGCAGAACCGAGCCTGGAACAAGTTCCTATCTTAGTGGATCCTACATATTCTTTGACACTTCTCCCCCCAACTGCAACCAACCTCATACCATGGCCTTTTTTACTTGTTACATTGAGGACAATGTGCGACAATGCTTGGAAGTGGGCAAAGGAGCGTGGACAGTGGAGAATCAACCCTGTGCATAAGGAAGAGGAGGCACGTATAGTCATTGACGACGAGTTCAAGTACAATACCCATCAAGGGCACTCATCAGAGCAAACTGGGTCCTTTGAAATGGAGGTGGGGGTACTGTCATGGTAATGTTAAATCCCATTCTGTTGGCATGTCACATTTGTAAAGGGCCCAACGTAGCTGTCTGGCTGTTTATGCTAGGACCCAGATGGAACTCTTCTTCAAGATGACGCTGTGCCGTCCGAGCTGAACAAGCTGGTTCCCAATTTGGAGGGCCCAGGTGATGAAGCCCCTGTGATGGATTGCCAGGGCCACCAATCTTTCAGGTTGCTTAAATGATACAAAGTTTTTTTTGTGGGGGGCAACCCTTCCAAACATGAAAACAGCGGTGTAGTATGCAGTGCATGGTTGAAACTCAGGTTGGTCTTCCCCACCATCCAGCAGAACATGTCTGTGATGTCGGTGCTTCCTACCTTTTTGGATACCCTGGGACGTAAGATTGAAAATGCAGAGCGGGAGAAGGACTGTGGATCTTATTCATGATTGTCTCATGTCCCAATATCATCAAAACCATAAGGTGGGGCCCCCTCAACGACTAAGTCGGGTTATAACTTATAACTTATAACTCTAATAAGTAGGGTTTATGGTAATTATATAAATGGGGGTCAGGACCAACTTATAACTGGAGGGCCACCTTGCACCACAGCTCGATCAATGGTGTGTCAATCAAATGTTTTTGGTGATGGGTTCCTGCGCAGGAGAAGCAGAAGGACCGCGGTTTTACCAGAGCAGAGCAGTGGTTTGACCGCACTTTTTGTTACAGATCAAACATGTTGATACAATCTGTTTTCTTATGCTACATTACATCTTTGGCCAAGGTATGCCGGCAACATCGAGGCATCGGTCAAGAGCATGAACCAGCTCTATGATGACTTGACAAAGCTGCAGGGCGATGCGTACACGTGCAAAGAGGGTTCTCCTGAGTCTTACGCTCAATCCACTGCTAAATTATGTTTGGGTTAAATGCGACATGTAACTAGGAAAACATAACATTCTTTTGTGGGATCTAACCTAAGGTCCCAGTCGAAGCTTGATGCGATTGCGGCTAAGATGAAGGATGTCACCAAAGCAGATATCGCATTGAACAATCTGGTATGCCGTGCCAAGTATCCCTGGCATGTTTTTTTTTTTCCAGCATCCTTGCTGTTAGCCCACCACTGTGACTTGTTGAAATGAATCCCATGATATCTTATCCCCTTATACCACTTTGGAACAGTGATTAGGGATACTATTGAATATTGATCTTGGGGGGAAATGGTTAACAAAGCAGTTTAAAACTCGCACCTTCTTTAAACCCGCAGCCAGGAGCCTGAAAGCTCCAGCCAAACCCAAAGTGAGTCTTCGTTCTCCGCCTGGCCAGCGTGGGACAAGCCCAGCTGTAAAGGCAAAGGCGAAGGCGAAGGCGAAGGCAAAATCCCATACCAAACCCAAGGGTAAGTCCAAGTCAAAGCCCAGGAGGAGGGGCAGTGTCAAGTTTGAAGAGCCTGAGGAAGAGGATGACGATGATGAAGAGTGAGTAGTTTCTACGTATCCCATTTGCTATTTGGATGGGTCTTGAAAGCAGATCCTGTGAACCTGAGAAACCCATAAACATGGTACATGAGGCACTGTGTTACTAAACATAGTGGCCCCAAAATTCTCGGGCCTAGAAAATCTTAGAAAGAACGTGGCGCATGTTTCTGCGGGGAAGCAGGTGCGTGCTAGCGGAGAAATGTGTTGCACCCTGCAAGAGCGCTGCCTGCAAATGACATCAAAATTATGAACTGTAAAATCACAGACCATGGTGATGGGTTCTGTTTGCCCCGGAGGTGCTGTTGATCCAGAACTTGGTCTCCAGCGAGGGATTGACAACCAAGGGGGTCATGGACTTACTGGAATATCTTCAGGTGATATGGGTTTAAGAGTTCGATTTTACATAGTATCCAAAAGTTCCTTCAGCATACTTCAAATGGAGGTTCCGACACTTCTACTGTAAGTAAATGGCTGCTTAGGTCGCTCAGCTTCTGAGTCGAATTCGGGTTCTGACCTGGAAGATGAGCTGATGGTTGGTTTCGAGAACGGTGCAACTTTATCTGAATAACAATTTTAACTTCCTCCACTTTTTCCAGCTAATTAACGGTTCAGTTCCAGGTATCCCTTTTTGAAAGCTATTTCCCAAACAGGTCCAAACTTTTTGAAGCCCCTATCCATTTGCAATCCAAGGCAGACTCAGCAAAGTCGGTTGTGCGGATAGCCAGGGTGGCTGCACGACGCATGCGGCGCTTGGGTTTCTTGGTATGAATTGAATAAGTGGGTGACATCTTATTTCAATTTTTTCCCATTTGATATCATTTGATTGGTGTTCATTTTGAATCTTGAAAACTGTTTCATAAACTAAGGTGTTCGCGATCAGGGTTTGGAGCATGTTGGGCGTTGTGGTTCCTCGAAGAAGTCCAAGAATTTGGCTAGGAACTTTTATCGGCAAGTTGTTAGGGACAAGCGTGTTGTCGCTGTGAAGATCTCCATGGTGAAGTTGAGACTACGCTTGCAGAAGCCCAAAGTTCGAGAATTGGATCTTCCATACCCGGTAATTACTTTGAGTTCTTGGGTCACCTACTTGCTGAAGCATGCCCCACAGTATGCCCTAGCCGGCTACAACTTGGAACAAAGGGACCAGTTCACGAGTGTTTTCCATACTTTCTGGCAAAGATACCGGTCCATCGACCCCCTTCACCCAGTCTATGTGAACTTTGCTCCAGCCGACTATGGCAGGATCATTCCATTTGCCCTTCACGGGGACGAGGGGAGGGGTGTTGCGAAAATACCCGTGCTTGTGGTGGCGTTCCAATTTGTCATTAGCGTACTTGGGGTCAACAAGACCAACATGTCAGGGCTACTTTGTTTTAATTGCAGTAGTCTTTCCGTTCCATTCTTTGGTCTGGTGTATATGCCCTTTGTAGGATGTGAATGTCTCAATTTGTTTGGTGTTTTTTTCTGCTCATGTCTGGTTCAGACAAGGCATTCTTTTATGTCTCGGTTTGTCTCATGCTTGATTGCTGCCCGGATGTATGCGAAAAATGATGCTACCTATCATACCCTCCATGAAGTGCTGGCTACAGATTGCGACACTTTGTTTTTTGATGGCATCACGACAGAGACACCCAGTGTGCCTAGTTCCAAACTTTGATCACACATTTTCCCATCAAACATGTTCAAGGGGGTATTTTCAAGAACGTGTCTTTACACTTCAAATCTTTTGGATCCATCTTTGTTGTCAGCTATGCAGTGAGGGACCAATCTGCTTCCACCTGGCCTTTACTGCTTTGAAAGGGGACTGGCCTTATCTACGTAAAGCTGCAGGGCTTATTTCTGGCTTCGCATCACTCCGCAAATGTCATTGGTGTACCTTTCCGGCCTCTTGTTTATCAAATGATGTTTTCATGATCTAACCTTTTACCCCACAATATCCATATCTTAATTCCTGGAAACCATGGTTTAGAATTGCAGCGCTATTCAATTTGGGTGCCTTTATGATCTTATCTAGTATTGCGATGGCTTACTTGGCCTCCATGGGATAAGGTGATTTTAGACAAGGTCCATTTCCCTCTCCCCACCAAGACTGCTGCCTCAGGAGTGGTGGCGGCTTGGTTCCTTTTCGCACCTGCACTCCTGGAGCGGGTGTGATATGAATGGCCCCATGCCATGGAAACCTGAGTGCAACCCCATTCGCTGGATTCCTGGCTGTGACAATCCCTATTCTATCAAAATAGATCCTGCCCACACATTCGCAATGGGTTTTGGCAAAGACTTTTGTGCTTCTAGCTTGATTGCTATGAGTCACCTCGGTCTTTTTGGTCGGGGTTCAATCCACACAAAGCTGGAGAATGCCTACAACATCTTTCGAGAATGGGTTCACAGTGCAAAGGAACATTGCAAATTTACAGAGTTCAGTCTGAAAGCCTTCAAAGTCACCTCGTTCCTTTGGCTTTTCCTTTGTTAACAATTATTGTATTTTTCCCAACCTTACAAATAAAAGGGCCCCAAATCAAGACATGTTTTTGCCCAACCCATGAATCTGCAAGGCTCCAATACTTTCCGGTTCTGGGAGGACAAGGTCATGATTGCGTCGTACTCTGCAAATGGCTAAGTGCGTTCTTGGCAGGGGCTTCAACCACTGATATGGTTACTGGTTCCAAATTTGGTATTTTTTTGGGGATGGGGTTATATAACTGTTTCTTATTTTACTTCCGGGGTTAGGTCTCGACGTACTCCCCAATCTCCTCAAGGACGAGAGCAGCAAGATGATCTTCGACCTCATCAAATGGGGTGCTGACTCGGCGAATGGGTTTTACAGAGCGTTGCATTCACATGGGGTTTGGATACCAAGGGAGGATGTCCTATGGATTTCCCCACTGGGCTGGGGTGTGACAGATCCTGGTTTGCATACTAGCTAAACACTTTGTTTTGGATGTGGCCTCCAACATTCCCAAAATAAGGTACCAAATTCCACAAGGTTTCAACAAATTTCAAGTGAGGAAGCCTATGGTGCTTTGGCCAGAATCTGCAAACAACGTGGCTTTAAATTATACCGTATGAGGCCAAAATGTCACATGCATGAACACATTGTGCATCTAGGCTGCATGGAACATATATTTCCTTCTTGTGTTGGTACTTTGTTTCCCAAAATGATACGGTTATATGTGGGTAAGTCCAGCTTCCCAAATAGAAATCAACTTTGTTTTCTCCCTGTCGCTGCCTAAGTCGTGACCTGGAGATCCAAATCCAAGACCCCAATGTCATGTATGCCATAAACCCCAACTGCTGCCTGATCTTGAAGTTCATGTAACTTTTGTTTTGGTATGTTTTGGTGTTTAGGTTGAAATGAATCCAATTCAGCTTTAACATGTAAGATGACTCTTGAAACTGCAACTTCAGGTTGGAGTTGCTGGCAGGATGAAGATTACATTGGCCGGTGCAGTCGCATTACCCGGCGAACTCACCCATTGCAAATGGCAGCCCGATCTTTTGTTAGATTGCTCATGAAATACAAGAGGCAGCTCTCCCAGCCCCTGCCCAGTTGAGGGCCCTGACCAGCGGTGTGCAAAGTTCACCACCAGCGCCAAAAGTGATGAGCCCAACTCTTGCTGGGCTTGGTGTGTGGTGGCTTGGGGATAGTTGGGTATAGTTGGATATACATTAGGTATAGTTGATATTCAACAAACATCTCGAGCACTTTTCACCCCTTCGAGCATAAATTGGCAAAGTGATACCTAAATATCTCGTTACCAAAATTAAGGTTACAAAGGAAGCTTTAGGTATATGGAGGTTTCATAAGTCATGGGGGTGTACCCAAAAATCATGCATTTTCATAGGATGTTCTATGATCAACCATGCAGCTCTTGGGATATTGTCCATTGAAACCACCAGGATCTGCAGCACCGAGGACGACTGCCCAGAGATTTGCACCTCGGAGCAGCAGACCTGCTGGGTGGCCAACTATGACGCCTCAGGCGGAGCGGAGCTGGCTGCGGAGCTGGCTGCGGAGCTGGGTGGTCCAGTGGATTCAATGGATGGGGAGATCCAGTTGAAGAAAAAGATGTGTTTTTTGCAATTGAGAGTTGATCCATTTGATAGATTCTCTTTTCATCACAAAATCAAGTGCCTTTGTTCGCAGTTGCGCAGTTGCGCCGAATGCAGGTTTCTACTTGAATGGCACTGACAAGTGTTGGCCAAAGGATGAGGATTGCCCATGTGGTGCGAACACTGAACTGTGTATCTTGGCGACCCGTTGCATCGGCTCTTGGGTCGGAGGTGGGTCTTTAATTTGGTGTCACAGTGCAGTGTTTGGTAAATGTCCCGTTTTGGGGATTTTGAACATCACTAACAAAAGTATTTAAGTTGGAGATGATACCCTCTGGTAAACTAACATAGCTATTGAAAATGGCCCATTTATAGTTGTTTTACCCATTAAAAATGGTGATTTTCAATAGCTATGTTAAATTACCAGAGGGTACCCCCAATAGTTTCAATAGTTGGGTGATGAAAAATTCGGACATTTGACATTTGATGGTCTTTAGATGTCGAGGGGACGGCAATAAAACCATGTCAGTCGATGCCTTGCGCTGAGGCACCTTTGATGGCTGGTCGTATTGCGAGGCAACCTATTATGGTTGCCCACTGGTTTGCGCAGCGGACGAGAAGTACTGCTACCCGATGTCCTTCACGCCTGAAGGCTGGCAGAGTGACGCTTCGAAAGATCTACTCAATCTACTCCAAGCATGCTCCAATTTCATCCAATTTCCACCTAGCTGTAGGAAACGTACATTGATTTGTATAGTGACTACGTGACAGTGGACCTTCCACCTCACAAGATCCATGAGCATCGCCAGGCGAATATGTAGCCCAGCCGCACTTGGAGATGTGCACATTGCTGTTCTCAACGGCCCACATCCCATGCCTGCCGAGGATTGGATGGCGCCCGTCCAAGAATCTTGTGCCAAGTTGAATGCCACCTGCCCATGTGGTGCAAACGCCAAGCCATGCAAGTGGACAGATGATTGGGGCTATGAAGAGGACTGAACACTGAAAGGCTGAGTTAGAAAACTCGAGCCGAGTGAATTGATGAACAAATGGCAAAAGGGGATGGGTCAGAGTCTCATTGTTCCAAGGATACCATCCCCTTTTGATCTCTTTTTGTGGGTAGCCGAAAAAACCCAAAGCGACCCAAACTTTCGATGATGCCATCCCCCTCACGAAATGACAGGAGTGGTGCTTTGCAGAGGTGGAGTCATGTCCGGTCACATGCTCTTCAGAGCAGCAGAGGTGTTGCTCGGTGTGAAAGTGGTGGAAAAAGGCATGGCTTAGCGTTGCTTCTGAATGATTTCTTGGAAATATGTGGTGTGATGTGCTGCAGCACCAGTAAATGGCACATGTGTTTTCTGTTGTTTTGTTTTGACAATCTGAAAGTCCAAGTGGCGTTTGTTAGCACTTGCCACCATTTGTACTCATTTGGGGGTTTCCATACATGGGGATACTCAAAAATGGATGGTTTATAACGGAAAACCCTATTAAAATAGATGATCTGGGGATACCCCTAAGTCAGGAAACCTCCATTTGACACCCAGTCTATGAAGAATCTATGAACAGCATGGACATTGTATGAGGTGTCGAACAGCTTTTCGTTATTTGTAGAACAAGTTTTACAGCATATATATATATTATAGCATTATATAATTTATAATATCTCTAAGTATAATGATCCTTCCCCCAACATGAAATAGCACCCAAACAAAATTCCTGGTTTAGCATTGGATGTGTAACCCTTTCGGTTTTCCCTTTCCGTCCTTTTGCTGATCCGACTGTTGTTGTATCGAGGCTACCAGACCGACTACAACGCTTCTGGATACCCAGAGAAATTCTCCGAAAGCTGCGTCTCAGAGGCCGCGGCGAAAAGTTCGCCGCCCGAAAAGGGGACGCCGCAAAGGGTGAGAGGTGGCAAAAAGCATGTGAAGGGATGGAACGAGATGATGCTTGATACCAGATTTGCCCGAAAATAGGATAGAGATTTCAAATGCCGTAAAAAAATCCCTAGTGTTTCATAGTTTCAACGCTTATTTTCCATGGTGAATTTGCCTCACATTGGGGATAAGTCTTTCAATTTTGGACGAACCCATATGATGACGGCACATGTGAGATAAATTTGGAGCCGCTTGACCGATAGAGATGGAATTCTTTGTTCACCCCGGTGGTCCCCATGGCCCTCCAAGATATGGGATGATCCCAAATAGCTTTCCTATTCTGGGAGGGTGGCTTGGGGAATCCTTTCTGTGCGCAGACCCGGTCGTGCCCGTGCGGAACCAATTCCCAAGAATGTTACGATCCAATCTTTGAAGAGACCTACTGCTATCCTTTGGCGGACTTCTGGTTGCTCGGCCAGAGCCTGGTGTCAGCCTTTCAATGGGAGATTTGGCAATGATCAAAACACCAGGGATGGGTATAAATTGCCATGTGACTTCCTGGAAATCATATATAATATACTGCTAAAATCCTGCGTTTTCCAGTGACCGAAGAGCCAGCCACAGTGATTTCAGGTGATTTTGACCACTCCTGAGGTTGAACGAACCGATCAGCTGCCCCTTGTACTGTGCTGACGACGAAGACTACTGCTACATTCCTAGCTACGATGCCAAGGGCAATTGGATCAGAACAACGGTGGGGGCTGCAGGGTGAACCTGAGTTTCAGCGATATTGAAACTTACACCAGAGCGCAAGAGCAACATGTTCGGATGATTTTGCTTCATGATGCTTCATGCACTTTTGATCATTTTGATGATGCCCTAGCCACCCCTAGCCCTCTACTAACTCAAGACTCTGGAAAAAAAAGATAGCAAAGATTAAACACATGGAATTCTCCCTCTTTCGCAGCCCTATTCCGAGCCCATGCGACTGAACGCTGCAGGAGGAATGTGTTCCGAGGGGCCAGGCCTGCGACTGCACAAAGGGACAAAACGCATTCTCGTGCACCTGGACTGATCCGTGTCCTGACGCATCAAAAACGTGGCTTTCTGATGGTTTCTGGACATCTTTTTTTTGGGTGAACCACCAGGTGAACCACCTGAACTGATGGAAAACTGATGGAAAACTGTAGGCTGATGGAAAACTGCAGCGTGTGGATCCATGTGGTGGATTTTTTTTGGGATTCCATGTATTTGCGGCTTAGGCTGTGGGGATCCTGGACGGAATGTCTGCCAACCCACAACGGATATTGCCCAACGGATTGCCCAGCTGCAACTTGCTTGGCATTTTTTTGCTGATCCTGCGATCCCAATGGGTCCCAATCCCTCAGATTTTCCATGCGTTGTGCTGCCATGGCCAAGGGAGAAGTGGCCTGCGACTTGGTGGAAGACTACCTGCCCAACGGCACCTCCTTGGGATGGGTTCAGCCTTCCGTGAAATGCGCTGCAAGCCACGATCAATGCCCCTGTCGGGGAGCCCAGTGAAACCCTCGTGAAATCGAGTTTGAAATTTCCCATATTTCCCCTTAGAGGCTCTGCCTTTTATATCCTTTTATCATTTTGTTGGAAACATGACTGGCTGGTGGTTTCAGACTGAAAAAATAATGAAAAATATACCTGCTGGTTTCGACATTTGACAACATGTTGAGATGATGATCCCCCATGACGCAGCTCAGCTCGGCTCAGGCGGCAAAGAGGCTTCGCGCTGTCCAAAGGAGGGCTGCATCTTCAAGGACGAAGGATGCGCCGTTGAGTGTGGTCCAAACGAGAAGAAGTGCTGCTTGGACGTAGCCTCGAAGGCATGAACTCCATGTGGTAACATGGTACAATGTTACTACCGCGGGGGTTGATAATGTTGATAGCTGTTCTGCTGTCCCAAAGGTTTCATACATCCAATGAATTTCATGAATTTCCTTCCAGGTTGGAAGCTAGACTCAAAAACGCGAAGGTAGCGCGGCAGATTTCTACTCTGAACACATCATGCAACTTGAAAAACGAAGCTGTTATCAAACATGGCCTGCTGGAAAATCCTTCTGAACATCTCCATTTATAGATGATTTTGCCAACTAGAAACCTCCATTTACAGATTTCAAAGCCAGAGATGTTTGATTACCGAAGGGTATTGGTGGTATTGGATGGTATTGGTAAGATTTAGGACATGTTGTTTTCAGACTCCAGAGTAAGGCTACCTGACGGACTACACTGCCGATGGCTCATTCATCAGCGATCAAGAACAATGCGTCTCTTGTCAGCATCCGGCCATTGCTTGCTGGTTGGCGGTTTCAAAAAGTCAACCATTTCAACCACGTACGTTCTTGATGACGATCCCCAATTGCGAACATAGTTTTCAGATGTTTTCAGAAGGGTGGCTCAACCAGCAGAAAGGATGCGACTTCGCAGTTTTCATTGTTCAATCTCGATGGCCAGCATGATGTGCGCTTAGGTGCCAGATGGGGACACATGCCCCTGCGGTAAGAACACAGCCAAGTGACTTGACTGAAGTCCGGGTTCCAATAGTCTCAGCTACCAGTTTCACGTAGGGTATGAATTGTGCTACTCTTAAAGATCTTCAAATTTGCTGAGATTGTTGAGCAAAAGACTTATTCAAAGCAAAGTTCTGTTTCTGAATTCGGAACAACCTGCTTCTGGTTGCTCGCAGTTACAAACTGAACACGATTGAACTCTTACGCCACAGCAACAGTTGCATCAAGGTGTGCCAACAGCGACTTGTGCTTGCTAGCGGCCGAAAAGGAGTTGGTCTGTCCTTGCAAGGCTGGAAGTCTGTTGGAAAGTCTTGCAACTTCGGTTGCGAGTGCGTTATTTCCTGCATTTCCTGCCGGGCTGCGGCTTTCCTTGTGGCGTTCTTGTGAAACAACGGGTGTGTCTGAAAAATCCTGTGGTTGATCACCATTTTCCATCCTTTTACCATATTCATACACTTTCCCTGGGGCGTTCGTTTTCCATTCTCAGGCACACCCAAAATCATATTAGTTGGTGACAAATATATCATGGTACCCTCATTATATTCCCATGATATTTTCATTACATCCCTATTTATTGATATCCCATTCTATTCTATCCCATTCGTACAGTATCCCCATTCTATCCCTATTAGGTTATATATATATATTAATATATCATCATTAAATCATCCCAGAGTATCATATCAAATATCATGTCAAAGTAGGATATCCCATACTTACTATATATATAATATATATATATATATCCCATAGTATCATACTATATTCTCCAATATATATCCCCCTGGTCTCCAGTCCTCATTGTGCGAGGCTGCCGAGACGGAGTGCCTGGTGACGGACTACAACAAGGATGGCGAGCCGACGGGCTTCTCCACCCAGTGCGTAAAGGAGGGCACCGCCTGTCCCTGTGGCAAGAACACCATCAGCTGCCCTGATCCCAACGATGTGACATGGCCGCCATGGCCCATGAAATCCACAGGGAAAACCGGGTGACGAAATCCTGGGGGTAGCCCCAAATCGTGTCGTCATTCGACCATGATCTTAGTATATCTTAGTATTGAAACCATAGTGACTGGGGATTTTTGATGACTTTAGACATCTTTAGACTCCAAGGCCTTGGCAAAGATCTGTGTTGCCAGCAACATGCACAAGCGCTGCCCGGCGCCTTGTACCGCTGATGCCATCCTGGCAGGCGGGACGATCAGACCGGTGCGAAATGATCGACAAAATGGGGATGTGATTTATATAAAATTAATTAACATTATATAGTACCGCACAAGGCGGTGGCGGAAGTTTCAAAAATGGAAAACCTATAGGAGAGGTGAGTTGGTGTGACGCAAAAATGGCAGAGCGCCCCCACTGATGGATTGAAAGGTGGTTGAGTGTTTCTCCCTTTCTGTCTCTCTTTCTCTCTTTCTCTCTGTGTCTCTCTTTCGCCATCTATCTACAGAGCTACCTTTCTAGCCATCTAGCTATCTACCTGTCTATTCATGTATCTATCTATCGACCGCCAGTTTTTAACACTATTTACTTCCAAATGTGCTTCGCGCCACAACACCGTACACTTTTTCGACATCTCAACGTCCAAAAGTGCTCCGAGACCGACAGTTTTTAACACTTTTTACTTCCCTATGTGTCTATCTATGCATCTTTTCATCCGTCAAGTTCTCTCCCCAGCTGTCCTTCGATCTACCTCTTGACCTGTCGATCAATCTGTCTAGCCGCCACGTCGACAACAAAACAAGGCTGCTAGACTTCTGTTGGCAACATCAAAAACGAAGCAATTCTGCGAGACTTTCTCACTTTTTGCAGTTGAAAACATCAAAAACGAAGCAATTCTGCGAGACTTCCTTCGAAAATGGAAAGTTGACTCTACAGCTGACGGCCTCGTACCAATGCGTTTTGCGATTTTTCCATGCTATGTCTCTAAAGTACTGCGCCTGCCACGAAAAAGTTAGTCCAGGTCATACGAAGTGCTGCACCTGTCACGAAAAAGCATCTTGGCATAGCTGATGATTTGATACGCCAAAATGCAACCCCTCTCAGGAAATCAGCTCCTTGAGCTCCGAACATCTCTGCTGAAGATGCCTCTTGTACTGCGCTTGCCACGAAAAATGCATCTGTGCAGATCCTCTTCAAATCTCCCACGCCTGCCATCGTTTTTGAAAATGCTACAACACCCTCACGTTTTAGTCACTTTTCAGTGGATGCACAATCCACTCCACCTGCCACACAAAACGACGTCTGAACGTCCAAAATGTTTCCGAGACCCTCAGTTTTTAACACTTTTGACTTCGAAATGTGCTTCGCGCCACAACGCCGTGCACTTTTTCGACATCTCAACTTCCAAAAGTGCTCCGAGACCGCCAGTTTTTAACACTTTTTACTTCCAAATGTGCTTCGCGCCACAACGCCGTACACTTTTTCGACATCTCAACGTCCAAAAGTGCTCCGAGACCGACAGTTTTTAACACTTTTTACTTCCCTATGTGTCTATCTATGCATCTTTTCATCCTTCAAGTTCCCTCTCCACCTGTCCTTCCATCTACCTCTTGACCTGTCGATCAATCTGTCTAGCCGCCACGTCGACAACAAAACAATGCTGCTAGACTTCTGTTGGCAACATCAAAAACGAAGCAATTCTGCGAGACTTTCTCACTTTTTGCAGTTGAAAACATCAAAAACGAAGCAATTCTGCGAGACTTCCTTCGAAAATGGAAAGTTGACTGTACAGCTGACGGCCTCGTACCAATGCGTTTTGCGATTTTTCCATGCCATGTCTCTAAAGTACTGCGCCTGCCACGAAAAAGTTAGTCCAGGTCATACGAAGTGCTGCACCTGTCACGAAAAAGCATCTTGGCATAGCTGATGATTTGATACGCCAAAATGCAACCCCTCTCAGGAAATCAGCTCCTTGAGCTCCGAACATCTCTGCTGAAGATGCCTCTTGTACTGCGCCTGCCACGAAAAATGCATCTGTGCAGATCCTCTTCAAATCTCCCACGCCTTCCATCGTTTTTGAAAATGCTACAAAGCCCTCACGTTTTAGTCACTTTTCAGTGGATGCACAATCCACGCCACCTACCGTACGAAACGACGTCTGAACGTCCAAAATGTCTCCGAGACCCTCAGTTTTTAACACTTTTGACTTCGAAATGTGCTTCGCGCCACAACGCCGTGCACTTTTTCGACATCTCAACTTCCAAAAGTGCTCCGAGACCGCCAGTTTTTAACACATTTTACTTCCAAATGTGCTTCGCGCCACAACGCCGTGCACTTTTTCAACATCTGAACTTCCAAAAGTGGTCCGACGCTGCGGTGTTTTGTACCTTTTCACTTCGAAATCGGCTTCGCGCCACAACGGCGTGCAACTTTTCATCTCTCATCTCCCCAGATGTCTCCGCACCCGCCACTTTAGCCAGCCTACTTTTCGACCCTCCGGAGCCACAAAACCACGAAAAAAACACAATGTTTCGCGACTTTCCTACCTTTTCGCGCACCTGCATCTTCTTTCTTCTGATCTTTTCTCTTCTGACTCTTCTCCCTGCTGACTGCTTTTTCATCTCTCCATATTGTCGGAAGTTTGACTTCTAAACTTCCTTCGATGACTATACAATTATATTATATATGATTATGATCTGATGCAATATATCTATCCGTATCAATATATGATATGCGTAGATTCGCAATTCGCCCCTTTTTTCGGGGGTGTTCTGATCAGCAAAAATACTGTTGCAACAGCAAAACATTTACGTAGAGTATCATGGTATGCATGATTACACACATGTTGACATGATATAATATATTTATACACAATAACAAATAAATAAATAATTAAAAATAATATATATATATATAATATAACATATATATATATATCAATATAATATATATAATATAATATATATATATATAATATAATATATATATATAATATAATATATATATAATATAATATATATATATATAATATATATAATATAATATATAATATATATATATATGATATTTATATATATAATATATAATATATAATATATATATAATATAATATATAATATATATATGATATTTATATATATAATCTGTTGTATATAAATACAATCATATTATATATATACACACGTATTTACAGGATGAGATGCATGTACGGTATAGTATGCATCTTTACAGTACACTGTGCATGCTGCTGATCAGAACCTCTTCTCGACCCCGCTGCCTGTTTGAATTGTCTTCGGATTACATTCACAAATTTGATTTCCCGAATGCTCATGGCTATGTGTCTCATAAGTAGAAGTGCATGTCCATATGCACGTGTCAATTAGTCCTTGAAAAAGATCCTTACCATCATCACTATCTGCAATGTTAATCAATGTTAGACACTCAACTTAAACAGGGGTTGGTAACTGTCCCATTTTGGGTATATTGGACATCACCTTATAGTAGCCATTATAGACCATATACCTAATGGTTGGGTGATGTTCAATGGGGACATTTAATGACCCATGTTGAAGGTGAATCATCGCACGTGAATTAGCTGCAGTTAGCTCGTGGTCTCCATGGACCCGATTTTGTGTCCAAACTGTTGATGCCGGAGGTAACAAGAGTTGCGTGCTGACTAATCTGGACGACAAGGGAGAGTTCAAATCTGAAACTGTGCCTAGTCGCTGGTAATGGCATGTAGTGGTATCACTTCGGGTCTGAAGCGAGATTTGGAAGTGAAGAAGGCATGCCTGAATGTCTGTCAATAAAGGACAAAGTGTCTCAGCATGTGAAATATGTGAAACAGCTACCATACAGGCCAATGGGCCACACCTCAGCACATGACAGTGATGAACGTCACCCGGTTCTGGCCGTTTTGATCTTGTTTTACTGATGATCAACCAGTGGATGGTTGGGGTTTTCCATGGTTTTTCCTGTAGTTTTCCAACACACCCAATCTGCGGTGTCCAGAGTGTCCAGAGTTGCCGATATGCTGAGATCAAATGCATCGGTGCAAACGAGACCTGTGGCATTGGCGAGGGAATGAAACGCTGCCCATCGGGAGCGAGTATTGCGCTTGATACGACATGTGTCAATTTGCAGCTTGACATCGACATGAATAGACCAGGCAACTGTTTCCACACATGTTTGTCTTGGCATGATCACTCATAGGTATCATATTTTGGTACATATGGCAGTGTGTCAAAACCTTGTACCCCTGGTGAACATCAAAATAGCTGGTAAATGGATGTTCATCCCACTAAAAATGGTATTAATAGGTATTGATCCATAGCCATATAATGGAATAAGTGCATACATATCTCTAATGACACTCCTGGCATATCAAAAAAAGGAGGCTGCAAGAGCCGGGCTCCGGTGGAGCCCCACTGTTCCGCCAAGGTATACCACTGGTGGCGGCAATCGTCGACTGAGCACCAGTAGTGCCCAGCGGGAAACCTGCAATGCCATCATCACCATGTCAAGTTTGCGCAGCTTGGAGCAGTTTCAGCCACTCTTGACTTCATCATTCTGCGGAAATTATGCGGGATGGTTCTGAACTTTGTAACCAACCATGGAGTTTTGGCTTGGTAAAAAAATGTGGCATGTTGGAATTCTACATCCCATGAGTTGTATATCCATGAATACCCCCATATTTGGGCGGTTTTAGTCGCTAAAATGATGAAGCTGATCGACCATCAGATTTTTTTGGGTACTAGTACCTTATGTTCAATCAAATCCATATCTGGCACACATCCTGGGTAGCTTCTTGAAGGAGATCCACATCACTGAGCATGGACTGTGATAAGATGTGATAACCAGAACCAGTTTGTTCAATACTTATACCATGGATAGTTAAAGAACCAGGGATCACAAGTGGCATTAGTTGAGATTTACCCATTTTCTCAATGGCTCATAGACTCATAGTTGTCAAAGCCTTTACGAAAGGATTGACCCCTTCATGTCAGATGTCAAACAGCCCTTGGCCCTATTTTGCCGCGCATATGAGCAAAACAAGGGGATGGCACTGACAAATTGCCTTAGCTTGTTTGGAGTGGAACAAGATTTGGCTACTCCAAAACTCCAAAATGGGTTGGTTTACTATGTTTACTGCCAAAAATGCCCAGTCCACATGTGGTTGCACGAGCCTTTTTCTATCATGACCATCATTTCAGTATCAGGGTATGTTTCAAACTTAGGTACCTCAAAACCACAAAACATCTTGGCTTATCACGTTTAAAAAAAAAACAATTTCAATGTTGATTTCTGGATGAATTCGGGTATCCCCGTTCTAAAAAGAGACACACCATGACATCCAAAATAGGGAACTGATGCCGCAAAATTCCACTGAGGACCAGATGCCAAATCCAAGGCAGAGACGGTTCGAGTGAAGATGAACAGTGTACCGTTTGGGTCGGGGCTGGGACTCGTGCCATTCTTGTTGAAATGGGAGGAATAGCATGGAATAGCACCATTTATGGCCCTTCAAAAATCAAGAACAAGTAAAGGATATTAAAAGATCATGATCAACCGTAGATGGGGTACAGTACATCAAAGAACACGATTCTCAGATATTTTCAGACAAACCATGCGGCGCTTTGCAGCATGCCGCTCAAGACTGTGGCATGTTCACAACACTTGATGAAGGTATACGAAGGTCATGGGGATTCAACTGTAACCCCGTAGTCTTCCTACCCCCCTATGAACAAGGCTAGGGTTTATTAATAGGTCAACCACCTATGTTGGGTTTGTTAAGCACCAACATCCAACAACTACCTTTTTTTCAGGGCGGTCACCTGACGTTGTTGTTGTCATGGCCAGGTACTGCAAATCCCAAGCAGTTTGAAGACGACTTTGGCCATTAAGAGCGCCTCCACATTGCGCCTCTTGATTTGCAACGCCGCCGAAGAAACGATTGCGTTCTTTGGGACAGTTAAGTATGACAGTCGTGAGAGAAATATGTTCGATTTGCTGAGGCCGCCTGGACGGACGAAAGTTGAGTTCAACAGCATCCAGCATGATCTTCCACATCGATGACCAAGGCGATGTTTCCGAACAGCCTCCGAACAGCTTCCAAACAGCTTCCATGGGTGTGAAACTGATGGGATATGATGGGATGTACTACACTCACTACTAGTTTTGCCAAGATGTTAAGAAGGCCGTAAGCATGGAACATGATGAACATGTTGATCTGTTGATCCATGGAAATCTATGTTTTTATCCATGTTTTTCTCCATGTTTTCTGCCACAGAAACACCCTGCTGGCCTGCACCAGGCATTGCGACTTCGGCGACGCCTGCGCAGGTCTGCGAACAGTTGAAGAAGATGGTGAAGAGCAGCAGTCCATCCCTGACATCAGTGACTCAGTGGTGAAATGGATGGCTGAGCGGGCCTCTGAACCATCCGTCTTCGCGAAATTCGTAGATCGTTTACATAGTAAGGATGGTCCAGTGTCATGTTCTTTCGATTGCAGGGTGACACCATGATGCCTGGTTGGTTATTTGAAGACATGTTATCGGAACCATTTCCCATAAGATGGGATGAAGATCCCTGCAGATGATTCACGAAAATTCAGGTTCCTCCCATTTTACATCGCGGAAAGGACATTTCATGTGGTTTGAATCTTGAGGAATGGTATATATCCACAGGTTTTCGTTGTGTTTTTGTTGATTTTTTTGGGAGGGCTTGGGGGGGTAAAGATCGACCGATCGACCGAAGACAAACGGGTCTGCAGGCCGTGAGCGCTGTGGGCGAGATCAACGCCCAGGTGGCTTTTGGGTGGGTGGGAAATCCCCTCCGATGTCATCAAACGTGGGGAAATCCCGGAACGAGCCATGGTGATGTTCCATTGCGATGTTTGATTACTGGAGGCTGGAAAACCAATCTAGGAGTTGGTTGAATCATCTGTCATTGACTGTAGTCCCTATCAAGTTGTCCCATCACTTTTGAATATCCCCTATGTATGATATATAATGATATATATATATACATTCTATACTTTTCAACTGGTTTAAGGGAAAATCTGCAGGCAACCCCCATATATTTGGGGCAAACCATGGTTTCCTAGAACATTTCCCTTCAACCAATCCATTGATATAATGTATGTATGATATATATATAAATATATATATATATAATAGATACTTGTGCAAGCATCCGGGATTCAACAAACCAACATGTGGCTTGAACCAACAAAACTGGCAACTGATAGCGATGCATAGCCTCATTCACTTGCACGATGCCGAAGCGACCAGGCAGTTTCCACTCTTCCAATTCTTGACATGGCTTTGTCGTTTTGAAATAGGATATCTCCAAATTCTTGATCACCAGTTTCCCAGCAATCCCTTTTTTCGGGAGAAACTTGGAGGGTAGCAAACCATGTTCAGAGCCACATCATATCATCATATCGGTTTGTATGATATATATGCTATAGGGTAGCCCGGAACCCAACGGTTCATCCGATGATATTTTCCCTATTGAAGATGCCATAAATTGGATGGGGTATACCGTACCGGTATACCGTATATTTTCAGACGCAGCCATTGCAGAGAAAATGGTCAAATGCACAGGCCATATGGGTGTGTCTGAGAATACCTGGTGGAGACCTCCAAATTTGATGTAATTTTGATAGCATGGTAATTTTCAATAGGGAAACGTGATGGAAAACCATAAAAACATGTGGTCCCCTATTTTCAGATAAAGCCATATACACCCTACATTCATCAGGCCGATTCATTTTCTCTTGATCTCCTGAACTCCTGGTTCAATCCTGGTCATCAGTGAGGCTGGAGTCAATATGGAGCTTTCTAGCAGCACCATGCAGAGTCGTAGCCAAGCAGCCATTGTTCAGAAGGAACAGAAGGCCTGTGAAGCAGCAAATTTTGATATGAAGATCTCATCTGTATCTTGCTGGACCTTAAACTCCTTAAACCTTAAGGTCAGAATAGTCTGGAACGAATGCGTCGAGGAAATGGACAGAAATCGAGCTGAACAGTCACCAAGCTTTGTCCCAGAGCGACTTGACAGGCTGGAGTGACAACGCGGGCACCCACAACGTTGAGAACCACGCGCGCAACCACCGCAAGCACAACTTCAGCATCCCAGGCGCCTCGAGTTTTGAGATGTTTCAGGGGATGTTTCAGTGCGTAGGATGGGAGATTGCCGTTTGAATGTTTCTGAGTCTGAAATCTGTTGAATGCAGTCACCAAGACAACTTGGCGGAACCAAAGGATCCATCAACAGTTGCCCTATACTGCAGGCTGATGGTAGCACCACAACGTGCGCCGTGGGTGGTGAGGGGCAACTGGCGCGGGCTTGAGTAGAGATGACTGGATCTGCGGTGCGCTTTTGACTATAACATCACAATGCACTTGTAACTTTTGAAGACAAAGATTGTATATACAGATATATACAGTAGATTCATATAGATTCTAGACTTTGCTTTGGGTTTTCTCAGTATTTTTAAAGTTTGTTAGACAGATCATGCAGATCATCCGAGATCATCCAGTATGGCAGATCTTTCGAAAAATTTCCACCCAGTCGCAGCAACTTCCTGGTGACTTTCTGCAGGTCCTCGGAAACTGATGCAACAACAGTGGCAGCCTGAGACTGCAGCTTTTCCGTGGAGATCCGTGGAGGGTACTGCAGCAATTCCACTTGAACTGCTTTCCGGAACGCTTGACCACAGTCGTGTCTGAAAATGAGGTATGTTCCCTGGCTGTTTGTTTTTTGAAACATGACGATAAACCATCACAATTTGGGTACCTACACTAAGTTTTCAGACAAAACCTTTTGGGGTTGAAGTGCTCTATCTTGAGATACCCGTCCCTCCTTCACTGGAAATCAGGAAAATGCAGTCCGTTCTGAACATTGGGCTTTTGTGAACTTGTCACTCTTGTAGATTGGCTTCATAAGCTGATTTGATCAAGCTTCAATGAGGGAAACTTTGTGGATAAATTTTGCGAGATGAGTAGGTTTCTGGATGATTCTGGGTCCAAAGTAGCTTTGTATGAGTCACATTGAGTCACTCCTATGCAAACTTTGGGGCTCAAACCTCTTAAATCTCTTAATTTCCGTTTCTGGGGTTTTCCACTTCATGCAGAAATTGTATGAGCTTGCCCCACCGCAGGCTGATGGTAGCACCACAACGTGCACCGTGGGTGGTTTTTGGGGCAACTGGTGAGGGCTTGAGTAGAGATGCCTGGACCTGCAGAATGCTTTTGACCATCTAAGTCATGATATCAACGTGAATTTTGACGTCATCACGAAGATTCTGGAGGATTCTTTGCTGTAAAGTCAAGAAAAACGAATAAAAGACCTCCCTGAATCATAGAGCTACGGAGCTACGCATCTAAGCGGAACTTTCAGATTTCCCCTCAGAAATCCACCGATACCATTCTTCTGTCACTTCCACCTGTTGCAGGTCATCCACTGAGACTGAGACTGACACCACAACCACTGAGACTGAGACTGACACCACAGCAACAACCTCATTTGCGAGTGGGAAACACTGGAAGATATCAGTGGCAGTAATTTTAAACTAGTCTTCTAGTGCCTTAAAATCATCACAGACCAAAAAAAACCGGAATTATCCAGGAAATAGTGCCGAATTCTTGGCTTCAATGCTTCAATGATCACTCGCACCTTCACGGTGGATCCAGCTGAGGCTGGGGCGCCGGATGATGAGACCCAGACCACGTGCGCAGGGAGATGGGGAAAGCCGTGTTTTTTTTTTTGGTGGTTTCCAGATGATTCCAGGTCAAAATCCCCATGTTTTTTCATGCTGAAGCATGAAAAAAATTGGGGGTTTTGAAAAAAACATGATGAACATATTGATGAACCATATTTCATCATATTTCAAGAAAGGAACTTGTACCATCCTGTACCAATTGATGACCCTTTTTTGGGTCCTCTATGAAGTCCTGCCACAACGTTGCGACACACACACACAGCCGCGCACGAATCATTCCCCTGTCCGATGGCCATATCTTGGGAATCATAGGAATAGAATCTAGATACCATTCCCATAAAAAGATGTTTAACCTGGTATACCATTTTACATGATACCTATAATATATATATATATATATTATCATAATTATCATATCATATATATACATGATGATACATGTTATAGAGTTATACATGATGTTTATACAGTATCATATATAATTTCCATTTTATGGTATTAACATCCATGGTTTCCATGGTTTCCCCCGTCCTTTCGCCGACCCAATGGGTTGTGCAGGCTTCATGATCCCACGGCTGCTTTCGCACTTCCTAGCGTCGTGCGGATCTCAGCAGCGGTGAATACGCGTTGAATACATTATAACGACGATGAAGGATGATGTATAATACACATATAATATAATATAATAATATATATATATATATATCATAATGATTATATACCTGGTATGTATACACACACATGAGTTGAATGACTAATGGCCAAAGACCTACCCAAGCGAATTGTGAATTTCACCTCAAGCGCTTGGTGCTTGCTGGGTTGCATGGGTCATGATTTGATGACCTTCTAAGGGTCTGCCTGGCAGCTCGGCATCGAGTCCGTCATCGTTTGGCCATTTGGGGGTACGAAAATACCCTCTCATACCCTTTGCTGTGCGAATGCATGTACCAAAACCCTCAAAAACCGCAATTCACATTAGATTGAAATAGGATCTCCTTCTTTGCCCTGAGAATGGCGATTGATTTTCTTGGGAAGTCTGAGTAGTTTCAATTTGCACCGGTTTGTAGCAAATCTGGAGGTTTCCCGTAAATATTCCCATCATTTGAACTGTGGGATGATGGTGATAGGCCTCGCCGCTTGTTTGATGGCACCAACTTCGCTGAGGATCTCTTCAATTTCTGCTCCTGGCAGCACTCTTGGTGCAGTGAGAGTAAGTCGCTAAGTCGGCTTCCACTGCGGCACAGCGATTCCACCGATGTTGCTTTCTGCTAAGCAGAATTGCCATATATTCTTAATGTCTTAATGATCCGAACCCCGGATGCTCTGAGCTTCTAGATTCTTGCGATGTCGGTCCACTCAAAGCAGTTTCATCTTTGAAGGTGGCAAAAGTCCCTAAACAGGTTACAACAGGTTACTATCATACTGGTACTGCACAGGTCCACAATGGTCCACACATTCTGAAACTGAAACACCAATAGGCTGCCAAAAATCCCACTGGGGTCTGGAAATGTCTGGAAAAATCCGGTCATCCTTTGAGAGCCGTGGCTCGAAGAGGGCGATGGGTAGCTAGGCGTCGTTGCTGTTGCTGCTGATTGCAGCAGCTCAGCCAGCGATCTCGAATGATCTCGAGCTCAGGGGCTGCGGCAGAAGATCCCGTCTTCTGACATTGAAAGGAACATCCCAGAAACAGTGGCAATTCCCGAAACCACCAGCTTGTCAACTACTTTCTGGAAATGTCAGAATGTCATCAGATATCAATAGATAATAATAGATAATAGATAATATATATATATATATATTGTGAAGTTTTGCATGGCCCCTGCACAGGATGACACGCACATAGGATCAGAAGTGTAACCAACTGACATGCCCCGCAGAGCGCTCTTGAGTGGATCAAAATCGAGTTTGGTAGCGGAGCGCTTCGGTGCTCGCTATCTGCGGAGCCATTGGCCTGCTGCTGCTCGATCGGCTGCTACCTCCAACGAGGTTGCCGTGTGAGCACGGCGGGTCTGGCGCTGTGGTGGCGTTCTACGACCAGGGCAACAAGGACATCACGACGAAGGAGCACTACAACCTGCAGAACCTGGCGGCGCACTTCCTGGTGGCTGCTGGTGGTGGCTTCATCCTGAACATCACCTACTGCATCATCTTGGTCTTCGTCTACGGCATCTTCCTGAACGACCTCTACGCCTTCGACCTCAAGCTGCACTTCGTGGACACCCAGCTCAACGACACGGGCATCTCGCTGGACTTCTTGGACTACAAGATGCAGCAGCCTCCGACCTCGAGCGGAAGCATACCGCTCCAGGAATATCGAAGGGATATTCCACCGGGGTGGATGCCCGGAAACCCGAGCTACCCGCTCAAAGAGTACTTTGAGAAGCTCAGGTTATGGTACCGAGTATGTGGCTTGGAGGACGAACTGATCGGCCCTATGATAGCTGGCCGCTTGTATGGCCGTGCCTCCAAAGTGGCGATGGCTCTGAGGGTGAGAAGGCCGGATGGCACCTACGACGTGGGCGATGCGGCGCTGGTCAGATTGGCTGTGGACGAGGTGGTCGATCCAAATACTGGCCAGGTGATCCAAGCCCACATTCCCAGCGGAGTTCAACACTTGGTTCAAGCTCTTCGCAATGCCTTCGGCCAACAAGACCACGACATGGCCACTCAGGCGCTGGAGAGGTTTTTCTCTCTCACGAGAGGAAAGATGAGCCTTGCCGAGTATGCGGTGGAGTTTGATTCGAGGATGGATGAGGCTCATGACAGAGCCGGCCTTGTCATGAACGACGTGGCGAAGTTCTACCTGTTCTTCAAAGGTTCAGGTTTGAGCAACAAGGCCATCGACGACATCAAGCTCCAGGTCCAAGGAGATCACAGTCGCTTTGCAGATGCTCGAGCTTTAGCTTTGAGGTTGTCTCCATCTCGACCCGAAGAACATGGTGGCGACGTCTTCTACGCGGACCAGGACGACTATGACGAGACGGTCAACTATGACGCCTGGTATGACTCCTCCGAGAACTATTGGTACGACGACTACTCCCAGGACTATGGCTACGACGATGAAGGCAGTTGGCACTGGGATGGAGAGGAGCTCTACTATGGCGACATGGATGACTGGTATGATGAAGATCAAGAATGGCAAGAAGAAGGCTATCAAACCGCCCATGAAGACTCCCTGGAGACGAACCCTGAGAATGCCGACGAGGTCAAGGAAGAGTACTACAAGGGGAAGAGCAAAGGCAAGGGCAACAACGATGGTTGCTTTCGATGTGGAAGCAAATGGCACATGGCCAGAGACTGTCCGATGAACGACAAGGGCTATGGCAAGTCTGGTGGAAAAGGATCAATGAAAGGCAAGTCAAAAGGAAAGAGCAAAGGTGGATGGCGATGGCGCCCCAACTACAAAGGAAGCTACAAGGGCAAAGGCAAAGGCAAGAAAGGTGGATACAAGGGTTCCAAAGGCTATGGCAAGACCAACTGGTATGTCCAACGACCCCCTTTGGATGCCTACGATGGAATCCCTTCCAATGTGCCGAGGCAAGACAACTCCGAGGAGTTCAACATCCACACACCGCCTGATGCAGAGGACTTCATGAGCATCCCGAGATCTTCAAGCAGGACAAGATCTACTTCGGATGGTCATGGACAAGAACATGGAGCTGTCATGCCGGAGAAGCGCATCCACGAGGCCTTCAGCTTTGCCTTCAACAACTACTACCAGGCCACGGAGATTTCCATTGAGAAGGACGTGACTTCACCGGTGTCAGGCATTGATGGGAAGTCTGACCAGACCCTTGGACGAGTCACTGTGCCTTTGCTGTCTTCTGGAAAGGCCATCAAGTTCTGTGGTGAAGTGATTGGAGGACAAGGTTCTCTTTGCCCAGCTCTAGTTGGAAATCCTTCCCTGAGGAAGATGAACTGTGTCATTTTCAGCAACTACTTTTCCAACGGTGATGGACTCCTCGCCATGAACCACAAGGAGGAGCCACAGTCATCGAGATTGCTGAGACTGCTGTTGACTGACAGCGGACACTACATCCTTGCCACCGACGGCATTGACGAGACCAAGATCACCAAGGACGTGCAAAAGGAGACCTACACGTTCTGCAGCAAAGTGCTCTCTAGCAGCATCGAGAAATGGCCAAAGTCCGAGATCAATCCCCGGTTGCTCCATGTCTTCGCTGTGACGCAGGCAGGAGGGAACCGGTGTGAACAACAACAATATTAATCACGTGAACATCGTGAACAACAAGAATCCTCCTCTACTGACGACAAGGACAATGGCGACAAAGCTGCCAACATCATGGACAAGCCCGACAAGACTGACACCAATGCGACAGTCCTCCATGAATCTGATGGCAAGCTCAACTTGGACAAGAACAACCACGATGCTGTCGAAGCTGTTTCACAACCAGGCATTTTGCCTTCCATGGAATCCACAAAGGAGCCCATCGAACACAACGTTTTTTCCAGTGAGCCCAAGCTCTGCGGGCCTACATCTTTTCCTGCGACAACTGAGGAGTTGCCGAAGATTGTCAAGAAGGTGCACTTCGACGATGCGCATCAGCCTGCCTCTTTGGAAGCAGCATCCAACAACGTTGAAGAGCCCTCCAACAAGGATGAGAAAGACTCCCTGGACATCCACTACAAGGAGTCTGACTTTCCCATCTACACCGAGGACATGCTTCCTGATGGAGCAGACCATGTCAAGCTGAAGAAGCGCTACAAGGCGATCAAAGAGGAGTTCTACACTCAAAGTGGTCACCGACCAGTGACACCCTCCAACTTTCGCAGTTGGATGAACAAGTCCAAGGGCAGAAACAAGAGATGGCACTTCTGGGAAATCTTCAGTGGCTCAGGCAGACTCTCCCTGACGCTTTTGCTTTCAGGCTTAGCAGTTGGACCTCCAATTGACATGAAGTATGGCTGGGACGTCAACAACACTTCTCATCAAGCCATGCTTCTAGAAGCCCAACGAGAGTTCAAGCCTGGCACTATCCACTATGCACCAGACTGTGCACCCTAGAGTGTGTCATCAAGTTCCAAGGATCCAGCACTACGACATCAAGATCGTCTTCATGATCTTCCAGCTCTGAACTTTGTCCAGAACAGCTGTGAAGAACAATCCCGAGAAGGACGTGGCTACACTGTGGAGCAGCCCTATGGCAGTGCCATGATGGATGAAGGCTTGCGCCTTGACCGCATCCCTGACTGCAAGAAGAAACAACGAGTTGATCAATGCATGCATGGTGCAGTCAGCGAACTTGGTGATCCTGTCCAGAAGGCAACAGCCCTGATTGGCAACATCAAGTACAACAAGACAGCTTTGAGGTGCAGTGGTCATCAAGGTCAACCACATGCTCATCTACAAGGGCAGACTGGTGGTCACAATCGCACCACTCTTGCTGCAGTGTATCCGAAACAGATGTGCCAACGAATGCGGCAGGACATCATCAAGTACCTCCACAACCGCGACCTCATGCGGGTGAAGACCGAGAACTTCTATGAGTGCGTTCGCTGTACCTTGGGACGCTTTTGCCCAAAAGGAATTGACCACACTATGATTCCTGGACAATGTCGACATGGACGCTATGCAGCTGGGACCAATCCAAAGTTGAAGTCAACGTCATCTGCGGCTGACCCCATCACTGACTGGAAGAAGGCGGCAGACCGCGAAGCTTTGGATGTTGTCCAACTCGACAACGAGCTTGACAAGGAGTTCAACGTCAAGGAGTCCCACTATCTGAAGAAGCTGCTCATTGAATCAGTGAACAACGCTCTTGGCCTGTTCACAGAAGCCTCCAGCCGCAAGATCGACTACACCCACTGGATCGACAATCCTGTGGCGATTGCTTTGTTCAAGGAACTATTCAAAGAAGTCATGCAGGTGAAAGCCATCAAGGTTTTGCTGCGACCCTTCAGAAAATCCTCAGCTGAACCACACCTTTCTATGGCTTCTGGCTACCTGCGGCTGTTCATCATTGGCGATGTGAAGCACTGGAAAGTTCTGAAGATTGAAGACATGAGAGAGCTCAGCTTCAGCCAGATCAACGAGGCGATAGATGAGGATGACTGGGTTCTGGTCTTGTATGGTGTCGAACTTGATTCAGTACCAGCACCATCGACACCCGCTGCACGATCCAGATCTATCCCAGCTCAGCCTGCACTACCACCTCGACGAGATGATGCAGCACTTGTTCCAGCGGAACCACAACCTCAAATCCAAGAACGACCTGATGATGAACGAGAAGAAGAAGCTCTGGCAATTCCAGCATATGAAGAGTTTGAGGCACATGGACGAGCTGCACTAGCTCCAGTCAAGCCCAACTACAACTTGCGGCGAGTTCTTGAACGACTTCCCAAGCTGGTGGATTCTGGTGACGTGACCACAGCCAAGAGACTGTTGGTCGGCCTTCATGAACGACTTTGGCACACACCGGCAGGAGACTTTTGTAACCTCCTTCGCTGAGCTGGACTTCCTCAACCAGTGATCACCCTTGCAGCTGAAGCAGTTCAAAGCTGCGTGGTGTGCCGGAAGTTTGTCAGATTGCCAAATCGTCCACAAGTACGAGCTGGAGGTGCAACCATCTTCAACGAGACGGTTCAGTTCGACTTGTTCCACCTGGACGACGTCACATACATGAGCCTGCTGGATGAAGCTACTCGCTTCAAGACCTGCTCAGTTCCTGAAGGACAAGATGCACAACAGTTGCTGGCCTCTATGCTTCAGAACTGGATTCAGTTCTTTGGTCCACCTGCTCGACTTATACTGGACCAACAAGCCTCTCTGATGTCACATGAAGCTGGAGGTGAATTCGAACGGATGAACATCGCTCGATGTCCCAGAGGAACGACTCAAGGACAAGGTGCCGAACAACACACTGGAACTGGCTTGGTTGAACGACATGTTCAACTTACCAAGCTCACCATCATGAAGTTGAAAGCCGAGCTTCAACGCCAATGTCTGAACTCAGAACCAGCTGAACTTGGAATGGAAAGCGCTATGGCGCACAACCAGACGATCAACTATGGAGGTGCCACACCAAGCATGAGCGTCTTTGGCATCCTTCCACGTGGGTTCTACAACCCTGAGACTCCAGGTCTTCTTTCCACTTTTGGCTCCATGCAGAAGGACGTGACGGTGTTCGAACGCGCTATGCGCATCAGGCAGACTGCCTTGGCCCAGACACATCAAGCGATCATTGAAGATCGTGTCGCAAGAGCCAACCGACATCGTCCTCACCAGCTGGAGACTGACAAGCTCACCGCTGGAGTGTCTGAAGTGGAGTACTACAGAGAAGTTGCAGGAGATCCTGGATGGCGTGGCCCAGCACTTTTACTACGACTTGATCAAGATGAAGGTGTTGCTGTGATCCAGTACCAGGGCAAGCCCTACTTGGTTTCCTTGAGACACATCAGGCCCTACCTTGGCATGTTCCACTTTGAGATGGTCAACGAACCTGTGGAGAACGAGCTCAACAACCTGATGAAGTACGTGGAACACCTCTGCGAGTACAAGGCCTATGTCATTGGATGGATCCAGAAGAAGAACGGCACTTGGGCCAAGACTCCAAAGGAGACACCAGCTATCACCAAGGCGATGGAATGGGCAGACAAGATCTCCAAAGCCATGACCAAGAAGCCATTGCATGGCATCATCATGGGACGAGCTCTGAAAACCTTCAAACCTCCCAACAACACGACTGGCAAGATGGTGACATGGATTCAAGGTGGCAAGAACTACTCCGTACAGGAGCACTTGAACGCGAACCACCTGAGAATGAAGAAAATCTCCAACTACACCAGGGAGGACCTCTGTATCATCTACTTCTACTACTACAACCTGGACATCAAGGAGGAGATCACCTACGACCCAAAGTCCAAGGAGAAGCCTGCGAATGACCAAAAGCCAAACGGCGATGGTTCAGAGGAGATGGACACAGAGAACGTTCCAAAGAAACGAGATGAGCCAGAAGATCCAAGACTACAAGAATCTGAGAAGAAGAAGCAGAAGGTTGCGATGGTGAAGAAGGACATCAAGAAGGTGGCGATTCTGCAGAAGGACATCGAGTTCCTACGGAGCTTCTACACCATCAACGCCAACACCAAGATCATCCTGGACTTCCCACTGGAATGGAAGATTGGCTACAGCATCATGCTGCCCACGGTCAAGAACTTCCTGACCCAAGAGTATCAACATCGTCAACGACAATGTGGACATCTCTTCACCTTGGCCTACAAGACATCCGGCGATGCAACAGCATGCCTGAGAACCGCTCAGATCTTCAAGGTCGACGAGGAGACCAACAACATCAATGAAGGTGACATCACACCTGATCTATGGCATTTGGTGGATTCAGCCGATCGAGCTGAAGTCAAGCAGTTTGTGGAGGAGAAAGCATTCAAGAAGATGCACAAGAGCAAGTTCACGGCCGAGATGGTCATCATAGATGCCAGATGGGTTCGGAAGTGGAAAAGATACCCAAATGGCGAGTTGAAGGTGAAATCAAGACTTTGTGCAAGAGGATGCTTCGACTCCCAGAAAGACCTCTTGACGACGAGATCTACCACTGCCACAAGATTGAGCCAACGACTTCTTTTGAGTCATGCTGCACGAAAGCGCAGCCGAAGACTCGAGTCCATCGACATTGCTGGCGCCTTCCTGAAAGGTTTTTCTTTCTCCGAGATTCAACGAGCTCTACGTGAAGCTGGAGTTGATGCACCAAGCCGAGTGGTGGTACTTCTACCTCCCTTGAACGTCTTTCGTCACTTGAGTGACCTGAGCCCTGACTTCAAGGGGATGACAGACCTCCAAGCTATGGAGTACGGCTTACTCTGCGTCAAGCCGGTCTATGGGTTGAATGACGCCCCATTGGCATGGCAATTGTGCCTGCACCAGTTTGTCAAACAACACGGTGGACACCCATCACATCTGGACGACTGCACTTTCTCTTGGAAAGGCCAACGACCAGAAGAACCAGAAGCTGAATCAATTGCCACGACACATGTGGATGACATCGCTCTTTCTGGCGAACAACCATGGCTGGACCATATGCACCAGCTTTTCCTCAAGCGTTTTGGCAAGGTGACCAGACAGACCTTACCATTTGTTCACTGTGGCTGCAAGTATGAGAAAACGCCCACAGGCTACAAGGTCAGCCAACAAGAGTTTGCCAGCAAACTCCGACCTGTTCCAGTACCAGAACGAGAAGACACTTCAAAGCTGACCAAAGAAGAAGTATCAACCTTTCGCTCAATTCTTGGAGCACTTTTGTGGTTGACTGCCACACGCCTTGACATCATTGCAGATGTATCAGTTCTTCAAGCGAAGGTGACAGTGGCTGAGATTCAACACCTCAAGCAAGCCAATGACATCCTGATCAAAGTGGCGGAGTACATCGAGGTTGGACTCCACTACAGGATGATGGAAGCCAAGCACATCAGACTGGTGTGTATTCATGATGCTTCCTCTGCTGCTCAAGGACGAAGCTATGCTCAAGAAGGTTTGCTGATTGGTATCATGGAAGACAAGTTCCACGACGTCACTCTGGAAGCTGAGACGGAATTCCAAGATGGAGAAGGCGAACATGGAGTGGAGAACCATGGTGGAATCTTCCACATTCTTCATGCCAGTGGTTCCAAGGCGAAAAGAATTTCCTACAGCACTTCACATGCTGAAACCTTGTCTATGGTTGGTGGAATGGAAGCCTCAACTATGATCATGGTTAGACTGGCCGAACTACACCATCCTGCGAAAGCTCCCACGATCAAGCAGCTTGTGCAGATTCAAGAAGCTGGCGATCCTAAGATCCCAATGGACTTTTATGGAGATTGCCGAGATCTATTTGAACTCATCACTGGACGACGAACGCTGCCTCAAGACAAATCGCAGCGCTTGTATGTTTTGAGTTTGAAAGAATCGAGAGTTTCTGGAAAACTGCGGATGGCAACTTTGGTGCCTACAGAAGCTATGACGGCTGATTCATTGACCAAGCCGATGGTTCATGATTGCATGCTACTTTTGTTGACAACTGGAATCGTCAGGTTTTTCAACGTGCCTGATCACAAGGTGGTGACGAGAATTCTCCCAGCACTGGAAGAATACACAGAGCACGACCTTCACAAGTCCGATGAGGAGCTGATGGACGACGTTGTCAAGGGCATCAAGCAGCCGAAAATCAGTCATGGAGCTGTTTTGCTGAGTTTGTTTTCACGAAGCATGTTACCAATGCTGGTGGCAACGTGTGCGAGTGGTGCAACGGCTCAAGAGTTTGACGAGACCTATGTCCCTGACTCCAATGCAGTTGCGAAGAACAACAGCATCCCGAACTATGCCAACTACTTCGGGGTCTACATCTCCATCTTCCTCACCGTGATCCTCGCCGTGAACATGGACAAGATTCTGAAGTATGTGACCTACAAGGTGACGAAGAATCTCTACAGGCCTTTGCAGGCCGTGAAGGAGGAAGACACGACAGAAGCGATGGATGTGGACGAAGAAGGCGATCCCGACATGATGGCGAATCGCATTGCTGCACTCAAGCGGAAGGTCATGGATGTGAACGCAGCCAATCGTGCTGCCAAGAAGAAGATCCAAGATCAACAAGGAGAACTGGATGAACTCAGAGATGATCTACGCGAAGCCAAGACGGAGATCACATCATGGATAGACTGCGCCGACAACTATAGCGCCAAGACCAACATGTGCCTGGCGGATTCGGCGAGCTACAAGAGAGATCTCCAAGAGCTCAAGACCGAGCACAAGGAGCTGAAAGACAGGTATGACCAGGCCCAAAATGACATCAACACCCTGGAAGAGCAGGTGAGACGTCAACGTGAAAGAGGAGATCAACTTTGTGACAAGGTGGATGATATACAAGGTGCGCTGCAGCACTCCAAGAATGCCAACGCGATGGCTGCACAAGCCAATGCCAGCAAGGACGCGAAGATTGCCGAGCTGACAGCTGCGCTGCAAACTGCGAAGCAACAGGCTCAGACAGTCAGACCAAGCCGTGCTGCCGACCAGAACGAGGTGGCCAAGCTCACGCAGAAGATCACCGACCTGACCAAGAAGAATGAGGACTTGGACAGGGAGAAGAACGTCCTGAAGGCGACCTGCGAGCAGCGCGCCCGTGAGATCCTCGGCCTAAGAGAGGCCAATAGGGAGGCAAAAGCCCCTCCAACTGTGCATATCACGCGAGGTGGGTCATGCTACCATAGCGACGGTTGCAACCACCTGAGCCATGCCGGTCAGCCAAGAGCTGTAGTGGAGTTGCGCAAATGCCGCGACTGCTGGCCGTGAGCACAGAGCAGGAGGGCACCGGTGTGAAGTTTTGCATGGCCCCTGCACAGGATGACACGCACATAGGATCAGAAGTGTAACCAACTGACATGCCCCGCAGAGCGCTCTTGAGTGGATCAAAATCGAGTTATATTATATAATTTATCATGAACCATGATATTATATATGGTCGATACAGCATTTTCATATTGGATTTCACCGGTTCGTGAGCGCCTTTCTGGATCATTGAAATTGGGTTGAAAAGATTGAGATGAAAAGCCCCTGCTTTTCTGCTCGGGAAAGAGATGCAACACGAGTTGGTTGGCTCCTCATTTGGGGGAGGCAACCAACACACGATTTGTGGATCCGCTGGGTGGTTTCTATCATCTCTATTGGAAAAAATTACTTTACTTCGTGTGATCCCCACCATGACATTTATACATTTTCTTACTGGCAAATCTTCTGGCATTCTATCTGACATATCTTCTGACATTCTATTTGACATTCTATCTGGCATACCTTCTGGCATATGATCTGGCATATCTTCTGGCATATCTTCTGGCATTCTATCTGGCAAATCTTCTGGCATTCTATCTGGCATATCTTCTGGCACTCTTTCTGACATATCTTCTGGCATTCTATCTGGCATATCTTCTGGCATATATTCTGACATATCTTCTGGCATTCTATCTGACATATCTTCTGGCATATATTCTGACATATCTTCTGGCATATCTTCTGGCATATCTTCTGGCATATCTTCTGACATATCTATCTGGCATATCTTCTGACATATCTATCTGGCATATCTTCTGGCATATTTTCTGGCATTCTATCTGGCAAATCTTCTGGCATTCTATCTGGCATTCTATCTGGCATATCTTGTGGCATATTATCTGGCATTCTATCTGGCATATCTTCTGGCATATCTTCTGACATTCTTTCTGACATTCTTTCTAACTTTCTTCTGCACATTCTTTGTCCCATATCTTCCTACATGAGGTCCGGCAGGGAACACTTGGCGTGGATACTCGCGGTTGAGGTCCGGCAGCGAACACTGGGCGGGGATACTCGCGGTTGAGGTCCGGCAGGGAACACTGGGCGTGGATGGTCGTGGTTGAGGTCCGGCAGGGAACACTGGGCGTGGATGGTCGTGGTTGAGGTCCGGCAGAGAACACTGTGGATCGCGAGTCGCAGTTGAGCAGGAGGACGAGGACGACGAGGACGACGAGGACGACAAGGACGACAAGGATGACAAGGAGGACGAGGAGGAGGAGGAGAGGAGGACGAGGCAGGAGGAGGCGGAGGAGGAGGAGGAGAAGGAGGAGGAGGAGAAGGAGGAGGAGGCAACTGACATAAAATCTAACAACCCTCACCTGGCAGGTGGGGAAAAACATAAAAAAACATTGTATCCCAGTTATCAGATTTGACCGGGAAGATGGGAATGTGGAAGCCACCGTCGTAGGATGTACCCTTTTTTTGAGATGCCCCTGCTGGTGGAATATGTTGGAACCAGCAGATCATGGCAGGGGCCTGGCTTCACGCCCGTAGACGTGTGGGGCTCGGCGAGCGGCGACCGACTGTACTGCAGAAATCTGAAGAAATGGTTTTGGAATATTAGGACTGACACTCACTATCGCTCAGCTGAGCCATCACACTCTATCTATCTTTGAAACTCGATGGCCATTCGGACAGAATGGCAGCAGCATTGAGCTTTGCCGGAGTCGACCTTCTTCGGCCCATGTACTTGCAGAACCTTTGTTTCGTTGCAAAAATGGTTGCACTTTACTGCCCCCTGCAGTGATAGAAGAGAGGCCTGTGGACAGTGGCATCCCTCTCCTGGTGCTTGTGCGTTTGTAAGCACCCGATGCTGAACGTCGGATGCGCTGTGAATCTTTTGTGAAACCTGGTAGATGGGGCAAGAATTGAAAATCCACGAGTGTTATGAAGAGTTTAGGATTTGGCCCAAAGGCCGATTCATTGACAAAAGCTGGCATCCTAAACACTTCCCATTCCTTTTGGCATATTCCTCCCACATGTTCACCTGCAAATCCGACCAGATCTTGGACCTGGATTTCGTGTCACAGATCATTTTGGATCAACCACTTATATGTGCTGAACGAAGATCAGTGTAGCTCGAACATCGGTGCAATTTGGTGGCTGCAGTCCCAGTTGGCTTTGAAATGCTTTGAACGTCATGGCTTTGTTTGAACATCTTGGGGAAAACCCCCCAAATCCAATGGGCTGATCATCATTTCCCCATATATTTTCCCCATGAGAGCGATAAATTGATATCAAGTGGGGATCAATTCGCCCATTTTTAGACATGCCCACATTGATCAACGAGATGCGTTCAAGTGCCGAGAAGCTGAGGCCACGCAGATGATTTTCCAGGTCATCTTGCTGGCCGCCCTTGGGCTGACGTCGGCAGTTGCTCAGCGATTTGGAAAAGGGAAAATCCTGGAAAGCACGGGACTTTTCCTACGAAACCCATGGGATTTTTTGGACTTTCCTGTCATAATGGTTTCGTAGGAAAAGATCCATTTTTCCATGGACTTTTTCCATAAATGTCATGTCCTTAAGATTGATTCAGGGAACTTTGACAATGACATACAATGACATTTATGGCACAGGAGCAATGTCACCTTTGAAAGCTTGCAGTGAGTCCAACATTTCGAAGTGGAGATGGGTCAGACTGGCATTGAACTTCATTAAACCATCACGAGACATCCCCAATTCACTGGAAATTTCTGCAATGTGGTGGCATTGGATTATAAACAAATATGAAGAAATATGAAGAAATAGAATTGGAGAAGATTGGTGGAGTATTGTGGTTCTTGCCACATATTGCCACACTTCCGTTTTTTTCCAAGTAAAAGAACCAAATATGGAGATCACAACTCCTTCCCATCCTCCTCGGCGGAAACCGAGGATCTCAAACTTCCAGAAGCAGATTCATTGGAGTTGTCTATGGTGGCTCGATATTGGTTTTTGTGCCGGATGGGTGGATGAATCCCTGCAAAAATGGTGGATTCACGGGGGCTGCCCGCGACTGGTCGCCTCATTTTCCCTGGTTTTCGGACACAGATTGGGGGTACCATTTTCAGACTGGCCCACAGCATGGTTTTTGAGGGCTATCTCAGGTAGGCCATGCTTGCAAGTGTTGCATCCAAGCATGCCATGGGGTTTCAGCATGTTTCAGCATGTTTCAGCCATGCGGTCTTACTGTGGCGATCCGTGAAGGTTATTTTTTCTCAGAGTTGTGATAACCTACAATTATCCCAGGCTTGGAGAGTGCAATTTTCTGGGAATGTTAGGATGCTTGAGGGAATCTGCCAATATTGTAGTCGACATTTTTACGAAGAGAACTAGCCTAAGGAATGTCACGAAGAAATCAAGTTGAGACTCTGAAAAGTCAGCAAAAGAACTTTCTTCGAGTGATCGCGTAGTATATATATACACATATGCTGACATTCATCTGATATCTTATCTGACATATATTCTGACCCTTTACCATACATTCTGACATTCTATTTGACGTATATTCCGACATTTTTTTTGCCATTGTATCTGCAAGTCTATCTGACATTTCAAGTATGGCATTCTTTCTCGCATTTGATCTGGCATTCTATCTGACATTTTATATGGTATTTGATCTGGCGTTCTATCTGGCATTCAATCTGGCAGTCTATTTGGCATTCGATTTGACACTTTATATGGCATTCTTTGGCCGTTTAATTTGGCATTGTGTCATTTATATCTGACATTCTTTATGGCATTGGGAATCTATTTGATACTGATATATCTGACATTCGATCTGTTGGCCAGCTTTTGAAAGCCAGGGAGATGTTCAAATCTAGGGACACTCAACATGCACCGAGGAGATGGGGAAAACAAGATGCCATGAGGATATGGATGTTTCCGTTCAGCCATGGGGCTATCTCCAGTCACCCATAACTTTCTATAGGATTTTCCGTTACAAAGCATCCAGCTATTGGGGTATCCCCATCTGTGGAACCCCGCAAGATCCCCCCATCCTCTGGCGAGGCGGACATGGTCCAGCGAAGGCTGTTGGGAGCTCAGATTCGAAGGTCAGCCCCTCATCAGTAAAATCGCCTCGAAGATCCCGAAATGGATTGGATGTATGGGTGAAAACTGCTATTTGGATGTACCCTCTGTTAATTTAACATAGCTATTGAAAATGGTCATTTATAGTGGATTTTCCCATTGAAAATGGTGATTTTCCATAGTTATGTTAGTTTACCAGAGGGTATTTGGTATTTTCTATTTTGGGGGAAGATCCAAAGTCCATACACTTCAAGACTCAGAAAAGACTTTGTGCGCTAGTCTGTGAGACTGTCCAGCCTAGGGATAACAACACCTCCGGCTATGGCAACGGCACTGGCTATGGCGATTTCAGCTCCGACAACTACACGTCTGGCTATGGTAATGGCACTGGCTATGGTGGCAGCTCCGACAACTACACGTCTGGCTACGGCAATGGTACTGGCTATGGTGGCAGCTCAGACAACTACACGTCTGGCTACGGCAATGGTACTGGCTATGGTGGCAGCTCAGACAACTACACGTCTGGCTACGGCAATGGTACTGGCTATGGTGGCAGCTCAGACAACTACACGTCTGGGTCTGGCTATGGCAATGGCACTGGCTATGGTGGCAGCTCGGACAACTACACGTCTGGCTATGGCAATGGCACTGGCTATGGTGGCAGCTCCGGCAACTACACATCTGGCTATGGCAAAGGTACTGGCTCTGGCAACTACACCTCTGGCTATGGTAATGGCACTGGCTATGGCGGCACGTCTGGCTATGGCTTCAGTTTCTCTTTGCATTTGGCCAACTCCAGAATACTTTCAATATATATATATATAATTATATATACATACATTTATGTTTCTATGCGCTGTTATGAAGGCTACCGAGAGCTTGAGAGCTGGAGTTTTTCCCCACCTGCCAGGTAAGGGCCTCTAGATTTTATCGTCCTCCTTCTTCCCTCCTTC